TGTAAATTGTGACATGTCTCTGACATGATCTTGACACGCAAAGGGTTCATAGTTTCATAGATTTCATAGTCATAGTCATACGAGTATTCTGATAGTTTACCTGGGTGTAGTTCTCGGACGCATTTACGTATTCTAACAATTACAGTGTGCTTTGCTCTTCCTTTTTTCTTGCTTGGATGGTTAGACGAGCTCACGGCTCACCTGATCTTAAGTGGTTACCGGAGCCTACAGACGTATACAATGTAAATGCCACCACCCACCTTGAGACATGAGTTGTAGAAAGTTTCACTTTTAAAAGTACAACGGCTACCACGCTTTTTTTCCCTACCTATGCTGATAGCCTTGAGAGGCTATTTCAGCGTAACCTTAACTAGTAGGTGAGCTCACGGGGCTCAAACCTGACGACGTTGCTAACACGAACCCTAGCAAGAGCCGTGCTTCGCAGAATCTAACACCGGATCGGAAACGCGACCCACTGAGAAGATCCGGCAAGAAACTCAGTGGGCTGCGTCTGTGGGTATGGTGTTTTAAAAACACGCGTTCCCTTGAGTTTGTTGAGTGCAGCCTAGAAAATTTACGACTCACAACGACCTCTCAAACCAAAATTACAAAGTAAATGAAACAATTAGAAATCACATAATTTTTATTTTTATACCCAAATGTTAATAAATGTATAGGAATAAATAAAATTGGAGTGTCTGTTTGTAATATTGAAATAACCGCTTTTTACAACATGCATATGAATATATATATACACAATAACCGCGGGTAACATAGCCGGATTCAGCTAGTATAAAATAAAATGCAAAATCGCACCTTTCCATTTTCTTAACTAAAGGACAATGCCCAAAAGTGGGCCAACTTTATGTCTAAACTATTTGTACTTGAAAAACTATGCCTTATTTTTTCACGTTGTTTAGTTTATGCATCAACATTTCTTTCAACCTGGCATTGTTTTCCAAAAAAATAAATTACTTATTTGATAACATCCCAAAACTATCCATGCCATAGTTTTTAAATTCGCCAATAGGCAAAGGGCTTTAGCCCATACAGCCTTATAGCAAACCTATATGCTGTCAAACGAAAGAGTTGTTTGTGACTTGAACAACAAATTAAAAAAAATAGCTATGCTTATAATTCACAGGTTTCTTAGTTTATTTTTGTTCAATTCAATATTTATATATTGTAATAATAATTATTACTTAAAACCATGAATTATTTAATATTTTTAGATATTAATGATTCCATTAGTAAAAATATCAATGGCCTACCATTACTCTATTCTTATTATATATGATCAGAGAGTTTTGGCAGCAACCTGAGTGAAGCGTCACTTGAATTTTTATTTTAATGTTTTTTTAATAGTTTATTGTGTAATTTGTATTATTTGTATTTGTAATATTGTGTATAAAAGGTCTGCGTAAACTCATGCTCAGTCAATGTGGTATTCGTCGAGTTGACGTCAAAACTCCCAAAAAGCAATAAAAAGAGATACACCGGCTTTTTATTGACATAAAAACTATATAACTTCGACAGACTAGGCTGTATAGGCTACGCTCTTTGCCTGCTTATTGGTGAATTTAAAAACAACAACAACAATATCGTTGCCGGCTTCCGGATTTTCATTTCATTTTATTATTATTATGAGGATATAATAATAATAAAATGTACGTAAGGGCTTATTTCTAGCAACATTAACCACAATTAACTTATTTAATACTGTAAATAATTATGAGAGCGATTATTGATTTCGAAGAAAACAATTAACAACTTAATTTTAGCTGCAGAAAAAAACAGATTTCTCTTAAACCTGGGTGAGAATATAAAAATCGTTTTCTGAATATGAAACGATATTTCTTTGTCTATCAAATTAAGTTAAAACCATCATGACAGGACAACTTTTTTTAGGGGCCCAAACGCCCATACAAAATGGGCATTGTCCTTTATCAAACTAATTTATTTAATAGGCTTTTCACTTAGATGTCTGGAACCCATAATGGGTAAGGCATATTTTTTCTTCCGAAAACGGATGACTTTAATTTTGTGTTTTACATAACAATGACAAATTGTTCTCGTACTTGGGATTTCCTAAGAAAACTTCTGTCTGATTACACCAACACTCGCCCTTGGATCTAGAAGACAGATATTTAAAAAAAAAAACGTTTATTGAAAAAAAATTAAATATTAACGATGCATTCTAGTTAATTTTAAGATTTCGTCACCACACGACTTCCATTAACTAATAATAATTTAAGTAGAGCCATATTCTATTATAATGATACAACTAATATTCGATCTTAGTTTAAACTATCTCAAAGTATCCACGAAGCAGCACTTGAGACAATTAATTTAAAATGTCCGCTCGAAATCATCATCTGAGGGGCGAACACGAATGACTATCAAAATAGTATTTGTATTGTTATGGAGAAAAAAATTATAGGATTTATAGCCCCCGCAGACTACAGACTTTCTATCGGCTAGTACTTTGGTCGGCGTCTTAATCAGTATGGAGATGTATGCAGGTGCGCAAATTGTAAAGATTAGTAATCGGCCGATGAATCAGTTTGATTCCGGATTGCCTTCAAACTAAACTGTCGGCACTTGATCAGTACGACGCTCTACACACCCGATCCTGTAGACCGAATGGTAAACAGTCGACGTCGCCCAAAGCACGTCATTACGGATCCTCCCGATCCATTAACGGTGCTTTTAGGCACCACAAGCACCGGTCACCGTCCTCGCCGAACCTGTCGCGTTTCCGATCCGGTGGTAGGTTCTGCGAAGCACTGCTCTTACTAGGGCCAGTGTTAGCAATACTCCGGTTTGAGCCCCGTGAGCTCACCTACACGTTAGGGCGAAGCTGATATAGTCTCTTAAGGCTATCAGCAGAGGTAGGAAAAAAGACCGCCCGCACACTTGCCGATTGTTTAGTAGACGAGGACGTTTAGGACGACAGTTCAGTTCGCTCCGAGCTTTAGCGAAGAGCATAGATCCTCTTTCGCTATTGCTGGTCCAATTATCTTGACAAGTTCATTAAAGCTGATTATACTCATTCGATAAAAGGCAAAAAAAAGTTTGGGGTATAATTTGCAATGCATTTCCTAAAATTTTCCACTATCTAATCTATTACTGAAGATGGAATGCACCCAATACTCTCGGAATCTCTTTTTGGCGTTCCTCCTCCGTTGTATGAGAGCAATAATAACATTTCTGGATATTATGTACTGTATTTATTTTCATTGTGCAAACGTTCACTTCAACAGTCAGTCACAAACTATGTTTTTTTATAGTATAACCGTTCGAGAATATCCGGTCGATTGTTGGGCTAATCTGCGCACTCACGTCCAACCCAACTGTTTTGTTGGCGGCTCACTGAATTTGGCTCCCTTTTTTTGATTTTCGGATATTTTTTTTTATTTGTTCGTCGTTTGTTCGTTAATGTTTTAATGTAAAAATTGTTTGTTCGTCTTTTATTTATATATAATTAATTAAACAAATTATCACCCTTAAGAGGACCCCCCCCCTTACTAGATATCTTAATTTTTATAGCTCAGATTAGTTAATTTGTATCAATTATCGTTTGTTCGATGACTATTGTGATTGTTCGATCATAAAAACAATTAAATTCTCAATTCACAGTGATTTTATATCTAATAAGCAAACCATCACCTCACGATACAAACGATAATTGATCAAAATTAATTAATCTAAGCGATAAAAATAAAGATATCTAGTAAGGAGGGGCAACTTAAGGGTGATCATTTGCTTAATTAATTTTAAATAAATAAAAGACGAACAAACTTACATTCGAAATTTAACGAACAAATGACAAACAAATAATAATAAAATAAATAATCGAAAATCAAAAAAGGGGACCAAATTCATTGAGCCTTTGTTGGCCCAGTGTGCGCACTAACAGCCCAACCCGACCACTCTATCGACCGATAGAAAGTCTGCAGTTTGCAGGGGGAGCCTTAAACAGCGCCCCTAACGTCCGTAAAAAGAATTAATTTCAGCAGCACGAATTAATTTACTTTATTTCGTTTCGCAATCGTATCGTCACGTTCTCGAAACTTCTAAACTTGTACTCATAATCGAGAGCACGAAAATTGTTTTGACATGCGGTAACGTAAATCTCGAAGGCTGGCTATCGAGTACTACTGTAATGTAACTAATGTAATGATTAGTGTGCTTAGTGCGAGTTATTTAACGTTCTCGATGGCGTCAAAGTTAGCTCATATTTGTATGGAACGGGATCGTTTGCGTACGTTTGCCGCTAGGGGCGCTGTCCAATTGCATACAAAATTGGCTTAACTTTTACGCTATCGAGAGCGTTATGAAACTCGCACTAAGCGCACAGTTTTCGTATAGGACTAGATACATTTAAATTACGAATTCGATAGATTTTCGTGCTTGACGTAATGTTCTTATGTGTCCAACTGAGTAAATAGAGATATCTTTGAAATTTTGCGCCTTTTAAGCTATTGCATAGCTTTCATCGCGGACTTTGAGTGCGGCGACCGAACCAAGAATTTCCGTAACGAAAATAAAACCTAACACCCCCACTCCGCCTACCATGTAGCTCGCATTCAACACATTCACACGTTGCGCTTATGTAGTGTTTGTGAATAAACGGGCGGCGTGACGTCATGCGCATCATGAAAAGTCTGCCCATCTCTCTCGCGCGGTCTATCTTATGAGTTGGAAGGGGACAGTTAATGTTTTGCTTTTGTTAATGTTTATAAATATAGCGTGGTCTTATTTTATTATTGTTTTAATATTAAATTATTATTGTCTAATTATAATTGCATAAGTTGATAAAAAATCTATACAATAGCTTTACTGCGGCAGTCTCCGAATACCACACGTGTTTTTTTTAATACATAGCTGATGAACGAGTTTCCCTTGAACCAACCACTACTCAAATTACATACTTTTGTCTGTTATTATGTACATGCTTTCAGTGTTTAATAAATGTAATTTCCTTAGAAGCTGTAATCATCCAAAAAGTTTATTCCAACCAATATTGCCGCTGCATAACATGTTTTATGAAATACAAAAAAAAACTAGTTAAACACTTGCTTCCTTACTTTTTTACTCATGTGTCTTATGTACTAACACAGTAACAATGGTAGTATTATAGTTTTTTGTATTAAAATATCTCCTATCTTATTTTATTGAATACAATAGTAATTTTAATTCTAATTCCCAATTAAATATAGTTCATGGTAATATATCCAGTTCTGCCGGCAAAGGAATGCTCTTCATCGTCGCAAAACGTTTTAGCGCATCATATTTGCTTCTCAACGCTTCAATCTCTTCCCTTATTCTATTATTTTCGTCCTGCATCAGTTCCATATCGTGCCATTCCTGAAATGTTTGATGAGAAATTAAATGTAACCTTTCTAACACATTTCTCGGGCAATTGTTTTAAAATAAAAACAGTTTTTTTTGTGATGAACTTTAAAGCTTACTAGTTGTTGCTTTAGCTAACTTAACCTACACTGGAAAGTTGATAATGAGCTTCCACAAGTAGGTAACAACATTCAATCTCAGCAATAAAAAAAAATCATAGATATAAATAGATCTACATGTGTTCCAATTTCGTGTTTAGGGCATGAGTTATACGACACATTTAGAGACACAGTATCTTTTGTCTCTAATATCCACGTAATAAAAGATAGACCGTATGATTGCACATACGTCTAGAGCTGCAGTGAAAACTATAGTTTCCACATTTACATTTCCTCATTTTATAGTTAACCTGACTTTTCTCGTTCTCAAGTTCATCTTTCTGTTCTATACGCTTGATACGGCATGAGGCGGCATAACCTCTGTTTTTTAGAGTCCGGCGACGTTGTTTCATTCTGTAATAAAATAATGGGAGTGTGATTGAAGTTTTCCCGTAATCAACATAGTCCTACAACGTGACTTTAAAAAAGCTCCAGTAAAAAAAAGGACATAGTCTCATCATTTGCTTCATAGCACATCCAGAGCAGAGCTTATACTACCTGAAACTGCTTTGCTACTCCCAGAACTACTTTACTTTTGCCACATACCACGTAACTTTAAAATAGCCCATATCACTGTATTTACCAATCGGTACAACATGTCTTTCTCTTGATTTTGGTAATAGTTTAGCTCTGTCCCTTGAATTGCTGATTTTCTATTGACAATTTTGAAACAAAAAGTGAATCTGTCTAATTACCTTCTAATTATCATTGGCACTCATAATGACAAACTTGCATGTCCAAAATAAGAGTATGCTGATTAATTAATTATGATTTTTTGCTTGTTTTACAATGAATTATTTTAAAATTCACACAACAATGAAATATTTGCCCAATATTGAAATTGAATCCCCCTTCGGCCCGTCAGTCAGGTGCTGACTACAGCAATAGCATCAGTCAGTCTTTTGTTTAAATGCCTAATGGTATTTTGCCAAAATCATTCAGTTTGACGACAGTAAAAAACAAGACATACCTTACAATCTGATCTCGAGTGAGGCCTCGCATTTTGAGTTGCCTGTTGAGATCCCTAACTGAGATAGAAACTAGTTCATCATCACTTATCTCTGCACACGGTGTCGGGGATAAAGGTGCCTAGAATGTTACATGAATTTTTACAAATTTGGTAGTGTTCAGAATGAAAACATTTCAAATTCTTATATTCTATTTTAACAAGATCTTTGTTTCTAATTTGAAATGATTATTACAGTCCAGAAATATCAAAACAGGACTTGAGTTAATGTTAAATCTGCTTGTATTGAATTGTGATCATTTGTTTAAGGAGGTTTCTTAGTGCGCAATAAAATAGACCTTTATTTATTCCCTTATGTATTATAATATTAATGTATGTTTGTCCCATACGAAAAAATATGAAAAATACACATATCCAAATGTGATAAATGATTTAAGTTTTGAGCAATTATGTATTTTACACTAACGACAGTTTTACATTTGAGTATGCAAAAATACTGATTTCAAATTGTATTGGAATTAAAAGTTGTGACCACTATCATAAATGATACGATATCAAGCAGCAGAGTCGCTTTTATAGCCGAAATCCCTTTTATTACCCCTACAGAGGAAGAAAAAGGAGATTGGATAAATCAGGTATAGACGTACAAAACGTGGAAATACTGCTAAAAAAACTGTAATTATTTTGTGAGTCATTTTCATAAAAATTTCAAGTTTTCACTCACCATATTAATAGCCTTCCTTCCACCCAGTTCCTTTAAATCGTGAGGCATATTAATTTTTGAGTCGTCAATCCTTTGATTGTGGGTCACCCTTTTAGTCGCCTTTCCAGATATCGTTTACTTTAAACTTTCCAGATATCGTTTACTCTAAACTTTATGATAAAATATATCACCACTATATTGTTGAGTCTACTATTTAATATTTAATATGATTTTGTTTATTAAATTGAAATATAAACATAATTGCGTAGGTTCATGTGTACCTTTATACTTTTTTTTTATTTTAGGACCTGACCTGGTAACTAGGACCTTTAGGTCAAGATACCTGTAAGATCACTAGGCATGTGCTTAAAATATATCGATACTATGATATTTTCACAGTTTTGGTTTGACGTTTCAATAATTTTTAGTCATGATTAACATTTCGATAAACCACTATATCGATTTAAAATTAATGTTCTGCATCGTTTTTATAATCCACATCATGTTTATGTATAAGAAATCACGTCTGTTGATTCGCATTTAAGAATTCAAATGAGATGGTTTGAGATGAGAGATTTACTGGTAGTAGGACCTCTTGTGAGTCCGCACGGGTAAGCACCAACACTCTGCCCATTTCTGCCGTGAAGCTGTAATGTGTTTTAGTTTGAAGGATGGGGCAGCCGTTATAACTATACTGAAACCTTAGAACTTATATCTCAAAGTGGGTGGCGCATTTACGTTGTAAATGTCTATTGGCTCCAGTAATCACTTAGCACCAGGTGGGCTGTGAGCTCGTCCACCCATCTAAGAAATAAAAAAAATGATTGGAGCTATATTAAAACAATAACAACAAGAAAAGGGAAATAATGCCGAACTAGGTTGATTTTTTTATAAATATTTTTTTATCATCTACTTTATTTCCATTTACACACTAATTAAGTAGGTACGTGTTTTCTTTGCACCATGTTACTGNAATCACTTAGCACCAGGTGGGCTGTGAGCTCGTCCACCCATCTAAGAAATAAAAAAAATGATTGGAGCTATATTAAAACAATAACAACAAGAAAAGGGAAATAATGCCGAACTAGGTTGATTTTTTTATAAATATTTTTTTATCATCTACTTTATTTCCATTTACACACTAATTAAGTAGGTACGTGTTTTCTTTGCACCATGTTACTGTCAAACACTGGACTTTCAAATGCTTTGAGAACTTTTTGGCAGGAACGCGAGGAGTGAGGGTGTGTGATGTGTTTTATTTTGTGGATTTAGTGTTTCTTCAGGTTTAAATGTGTAATAACGGTAGTTTATTAACTGTTCAGTATCTGTGAAAGTGCATTAATGTGGGAAAATCAAACAAAATCACTGAGCGTAACTTCTCGGGATCCTCCAAAAAGTCAACTGAAAAAGTCTCAGTAGATGACCACCATTTTACTGAGATTATTTAAATTTCATCCCATATCATCTCATTTCATTTCATGTCATATTTCAACTTGACTTAAAGGTTTTAGTTACCAGGTTATAAAATCCCTTAAAAAATCAAGTGCTTTGAAAAACAAACTTTAGTCTATGTTTAATTTACGACTTTTAGTAGAAGGAAAACCAAGCAGACGCATTTTACGGCCGTTTTAGTGTTGAATTCATTCAAAATGGCCAAAAGAAAGAATAAACCGTTGATCGATTCTGATTCAAGCAGCGAATGCTCAGATTTGGAGTCAGTAAGTATATTTTTTTTATAAACCGATAGGTTACGAATTCATGTTGAATGCTGGAGTATTTTGTCTGCATTCCTAAGTAATCAGACTGCGTAAATAGGCCAAGTTCAGTGCTACGTTTTCGAAAAATAGTGCTTTAAGCTAATAAAACCTAAATCATGAATACCGCGTTGCTTTATTATCGATTAGTTCAAAATAAATAATCGTTACGTTTTCCGTTCAGTTTTGTATTTCATTAGTTTATTTACTTTGTTGTTCTCAAGAAACGGACATAGTAGCGTGACTCATGTAAAATTTCATACAATACACACACCTAAACGCTACTTTACTCTTTAAAAGCTCGAAACAAAGTAAAAAGCTTATTTATTTTGAATAACTTTCTTGCTAACGTCAAAGGCAAAATTTTGACGTGAAAATATTACGAACCAAATTTCATGTTCTTGAGTTTAATAATGAAAGTTTTTTTCGAAAGTTACATAACTTCTTCTTTCAATTTTCTCGTTTTAACAGTATTTATTATGAATTACCTATAATAAAGAAGATTTGGATGTTTGATATATGAATGTATTCTGGATCTTTGACCTCCAAATACTATGGCACAGATGTGTCCTCAAATGATAATTTGGGGAAAAATTATAATACACTCGGAAGCTGAAAGAAAAATGTATAAATATAAATCTAAATAGATAGTATCTGTGTATAAAAAACTCCATTATGAAAAAAGTTTTTAAAAACTTAAAAGGTGTCAATGATATGAAAAAAAGATCTTTATTGTTCAGTTTGGTATTAAGTTTGGTGATGAGGTTAGTTGTCAAATCAGATGCGTAAATTAGTTCATGACACCAGCAGCTCAACCCTGTAATCCTTTTGGTGCTGAGCTTATTTTGACATATTTTGCAGAAATTACTAAAGGATTCTGAAATAAAAAACCTAATTTGTAAAAACTTTAACTTAAAAAAATACAAATATCAATGTTAAATTCACAGCTAAATAATATGAAATGGCTATTTATAAATGTCATTAACTTATTGAAAATGTTATATGTGCCCATGCTAAGACACATCTGTACACGTAGTTACCTAATACCTATAATCAAACTATGCGATACTCGGTATTCCGACACTCTGTGCTTTATACAAATCAATAGAAAGTTGATCTATTGATTTGATAGAGACAAACAATCTGTAGAAATATTGCAGCAGTAATAGAGGGAAAAAGCAATGACACAGATTATACCGATAAAATAGATTAATAAACCCAACAGGTAATATAATTTATTTAGTAGACAATTTATTACTCCAGCAGACCATAAGGCACACCAAAGGCTAATTACTTTCAATATTTTTTATATGAATTTCATTTTTTCAGCAACTGCTAAATCTCGCGAAAAAGAAGAAGAAAACAGATGTTCAACCCCCACCTAAGCCAAGGAGCAGATCCTCAGGGAAGTCATCCGACAGTGATTCAGATGATGATAATGATGAAAAACCTAATCACTGTGAGTTTAAATGGCTAGTCAAATGCTATGTGGCATCTGTACAAGTCTTATTAATACGCTTTTATTAGCTTCAGACGTATGTATGTTAGTATGTAAAGGAATCTTTGAACATGATTTTGACCCCCTTCAATAGTCAGATTAACTCGAAATTTGGTATACTTATTAAGGACTGATGACAATTCGATATTAATTTTTTTTTAATTCAACTAAAAGATGCATGGTATCAGTAGTTATCAATATTTTATGAACAAATATGAGTAGAAGGGTTCTTACACTATTTTTAATTCAAATTTATTAAAATTTATTTTCTATCCTTTAGTTGGATTTTCCATAAAAACGTATTTTGTTATTTTTTTTTTATTAGAGTCCATGAACAAACAATGAATTACACACTAGTGCATAACGTTCAGAGACATTGGGCATAAACATTACATTTAGTTAATGGGAAAACAACTTTAATAGACAGGAAAAGCTCTTTATTTCCGGAGCATGTGTTCTATAAATATGCCGCGAATACAGAAACCGTGAATATGGAATGGTAATTTACATATATGGGATTATAGGAGATATGTTGTTGGTGTAAATACAAAAACATACTATAGTCGTATTTGTAATAAGGTCCATTAGACGATTCGGTTGGTTACGTACATATTAGAATTCTTTTTATTAATGTAAGTAATATAATATGTATTGATTATCCCTGATAATAGGAATTGGGTCGGAGTTTTTTAATCTGCGAATAGTGACAATGCGAATGAAGGAAGTAACTATTAAAGCTTAAAATAAAATTGTGTGCTGACTCCTTTAATTCTTGAGTAATTAGTTTCAGATTGTCTCTTGTAATTTATTATCAAGATGAAATTGATGCAAATGAAATTTTTAACAAAATTTATTTACATATATTATTTATTCCTTTTAAATCTTAATTACTTATTTTAATATTATCTGTCCATAGTTGAAATCTTTTAGATAACCAAGACTCACACACATAATTATGCTTTTCCTATTTTGTTTCAGCAAAGTCATCAGCATCATCGTCTGATTCTGATTCAGACAGTGACGCCAAAAGCAATGCATCCAAGAGCAGAGACTCGCCTCCGAAGCGGGCTTCCTCAGATGAAGAGTCGAAAGAGACCGAGCCAAAGAGATCTGAAACCAGAAAGAGCATTGAAAGTGCTGGATCGGAGAAGAAAAAAGATACTTTCAGTGAACCAGAGGAAGGTAATTGATACATGTTTCTAGAATAATAATGGTACAAACCATAAAGTACATAAGAATATAGAAAAGGTGCGATCATATTGTTGACAATACGTCGCCGTTGTCAAACCAAAATCTGCTATTTGCAATTTTGGAGCTTCTTACTTTTTGACCTTTTCATATAGTTCACAGCCCTATCTACCGTATGAAAAAAACTGTTATGTGTCTATAGCTTTAATATTTATCTATAGCTTTCATTTGATATAGTTCTTAAAAATTCACCTTCATATAAAATTTTATATGAAAATGTTTTTACTCATTAATTCAAAATAGAGTTTTTGCACATAGCAGATTTTGGTTTGACAGTGACGAAGTATGAAACATAACCGGTATACTACCATTATTGTAATACATTGATTGGTGGACATCACAGTTCCTGAGACAGGAAGTCTTACTGAAACATTATAGGTATAGTTAAAAATTCCTAGTTATTGAAAATCCGTTTACATATTATGATAAACAGGAATAAGGAAACTAAACAGAATACTTTATAAGGGAAGTCCTTTGCAGCACTTTTTACTGAACAGTATGATCACAGAATGGAATAAGCTGCCAGAAGATATAGCCTCAGCTGTTATAGCAGCAAAATTGAACTGCTTGAATAGCAGGGATTACCGATTTTTCAAATATCCAACATGCTTCAGCTCATTAAACTCCTAGTATGGTTGATATCTACTAAATTAAACTAACCTTTAACCTTAAAAACAGGATAATCTGGTACTCTAGAGTAACAAAGATCTTGTTTGGTACTGCTTCTGACAGCTTAGCTTCGGTAAGGGCTCTGCAAGTATTGTCAACCACGGTTATTCCTATGGCTCGCACAGATTGTAGATATAATTAAAACAACTGTTACCGTTCAATATTGTGGCAATTATAGTAATTCATGACCATGAAAAGTAAAGTATTTGAAATTCAGAAATAACAAAATAAAAATAATAAACAGTGACAGTATTTTTAATTATGTCATTGTTTCAAATAACACAGTTTTCTTTAATTATAAATATTTATAAACTATATAATATAATGCACTGTCTAAAGCCAGTTTTTTTTATTAGGTGAAGTATCTTCACATTCGTCAGACAATGACTCCGTTGACTCTGAAGAGGAATTTGATGATGGGTAAGATAGTTGTTTATACTTAACTTCATCTTGTCCCGTGGTATAATTTTATGTATTACATTTTCTCTTTTACCGTGTTATTGAAATTAATTTTATTTACATTTCTGTTCAGGTATGATGAAAATTTAATGGGAGATGAAGAGGATAGAGCTCGTCTGGCTGCCATGTCAGAGAAAGAGAGAGAACAAGAGATTTTCAAACGTATAGAGAGAAGAGATTTAATGAAAACTAGGTATAAAAAAATCTTCAATAGCTATTTTATTACATTTTATGCTATGACGCTGATATAGCCTCCCAAAGCTATCAGCTTAGGTAGGAAAAAAAATGCAATGACAAGACAAACTGGATTTTCAAAATTTTTAAAACTCCACTAAAATTTGTTTTTTGAAGTGTGTTCTTTAAAACAAATATATGAAAATTGCTTTTTTTTTTATATTTATATAATTAAATAATTACAGATGGGAGATAGAACGTAAGCTACGCTTAGCGAGACGTTCTGCGGCTGAACGATCTGCATCTCCGGGAGAAATAGCTAGAAGGAGAGAGGCCAGGAAACGGAGGAGAGCCATGCGTGAACAGAGATTGAAGGAGAGGGAGAAAGAGAAAGAAAGACAGCGGCAAGGTATTTTTATAAAGGTTTTTATTGCAACAACATTGATAGTATGGAGGGTAGAGGTAAGGAGAACCGTCTCTGTATGTGAAAAAGTGTCCGTTAAAATCTGCTAAATAAGGATGGCGCTACAGTAGCAACCGGGTAAATTTAAAAAAAGGCGCTGAATGTAATTAGAGTAAGATAGAGAAATAATAAAGGACGAAAGAGCTGTAAGCACTAAAAAATCACAAAAAGTATTTTATTTAAAGTTGATAAGAAAATGCAATCGATGTCTCCACGTTTTACCACAGCAATAATTTTAGGTTATATTGACGAAATTAGTTTGGACTACGTAAACATGTGAGGTCTTGTATATTACGTTGTCACTTACTGCACTAGTCACTAAATATATTAAATTTCCTAACTCGGCATACTTCAATCAGTTAACAACTGCTCAATTCATATCATACCCTGTGCCTATGCTAGCATTCTGGAGGATTTTTGAACTGTTATTTAGTGCTGAAAGTGGGACACTTTTTCAATGATATTGAGACGGTTCTCCTTACTTCTATCCTCCATAATTGAAAACAAAAACATGTCATATCAGGTCTGTGTAGTGCAGTGATTATCAAACTTATTTCTTTTACCGCCCCCTTTGAAAATCAATTATTTTTCAGCGCCCCCCATTTTTTATACGCCCCTAAAACTTTAAAACCACAATTTCATTAATTTAATTAATAAATGTTGTATTAATTTTAGTAAATGTAGTACCACGTAGTACATAATTATGTATTTGTAGATGCTATTATTATTTCTTCATATTATTATATGTCCGTACATTGCTACAGAGCGTGTATTTACAAATTTGCAAAGTAAAAATGAATTTTTTTCATCAATATGTTTGTTTAAATTCAGAATCACCAAAATAAATTGCTAGTTCACTGTACTATTACTATGCTAATTTATTAGAACGAAACTATTTTTTTTTTAATATCTTTCTCATTAATATAAGATTCTCATCATAAGATAATTAAAAATTTATATTTCGACTAGTAAATAATACTACTAACAATAATGACTTATTAAACTACGAATAAGCTAAACCTGGAAGTCGTAGAAGATTTCATTTATCTGGGCTCCGTCATAGCTAGTAATGGATCCTCCGAAAAGGACCTGAGAAGGCGAATCAGTATGGCAAAGAGAGCTATGTCCCAAATGTACCGTGTTTGGGCGGACAGAAACATCTCGAGGAATACCAAAAAGCAGCTCGTCACCTCCCTCGTCTTTTCCATTTTTCTCGACGGCGCAGAGACTTGGACCCTCAAGAAAGCCGATCGCCAACGCATCGACGCGTTTGAGATGTGGTGCTGGAGGAAAATGCTCGGGATTCGTTGGACAGAACACAGAACCAACGAATCCATTCTTACCGAGCTCAAGATTGCAATGCTCCTCAGCATTACATGCGCGCGGAGAAGTTTCGAGATCTTTGGACATATCACCAGAAAGAGAGGTGACAATCTGGAAAAGCTGCTGGTAACAGGCAAAGTATGCGGGAGAAGGCACAGAGGCAGAAATCCAATGCGCTGGTCGGACCAAATACGCTCCACTCTCAATATCTCAGTCCACGTTGCTATCCACACAGCCGAGGACAGGCAGGAGTGGCGCAAGATGATGCAGGAGAAAGTTATTAGAGGAGGCCACGACCCTCAGCACTGAGGATTATCGACGCAAGAATGAAGGAAACTACGAAAAATAAATTAATATCATTTCGTATTATAGATAAATATGGGTAATTTTTCATAGAATTTTAGTTTATAATTTAGAACTGGTTCAAATAAAAACCGCCGCCTAAGTCAGCGTTTTTATTATTTGTAATAATTAATATCTATACTAATATTATAAAGAGGAAAGATTTGTTTGTTTGTTTGTATTCAATAGGCTCCGAAACTACTAAGCCGATTTGAAAAATTCTTTCACTGTTTGGAAGCTTCACTATTCCCGAGTGACATAGGCTATAATCTTTTTTGAAAAAAATTAGGTATCCTTACTAAAACTCCAATAATTTAACCCAAGGTGTAAAAAAAATTTCCTAAAATATTCTTTACGTCGCGTACCTACGAAAACTATTGATGATAGAATAAAATAATATACTACGACTTTGTAGAAAACATTATTATTTACAAAAAGTGTCGCGACAGCATATGTCTAACTATTATAGTTATGGCGCAATAAGTGTTCTTTTATTTAAAAAAATGCCCCTGGTAAGACACGGAGTGCCCCCCTACCTTCGTCGACTGGTGGCTTCCTACTTGGAGGACAGTTCGGTCACGTGTACTGGACATCGTGGGATCGTGCACAGGCTCCCGGTTTTGTGAAATATCGGGTGTGACTGGGTACTGAGAGGTGCCCTCCTCCCGGGCCTAAGCGTATCTGTTACGCAGACGACACGCTGGTCGTGTCCCGGGGGGGGGGGACACGACCGTCTTGTTACCGTTGGGGTGGCGCATGTCGTCGGCAAAATCAGGAGATTGGGCCTTGACGTGACACTCAGTAAATCCGAGGTTCCACAGGCCCCGGAGAGTGCCACCTGTCGATGCCCATATTGTGGTTGAAGGCGTCCGTATCGGGTTGGGGTGCAGTTGAAGTACCTCGGCCTCATTCTGGACAGTCGTTGGACCTTCCGTGTTCACTTTCAGAACCTGGTCCTTCGTTTGTTGGGGGTGGCCGGCGCGTTAAGCTGGCTTCTTCCCAACATCGGGGGGCCTGACCAGGTGATGCGCCGTCTCTATACGGGGGTGGTGCGGTCAATGGCCTTATACGAGGCGCCAGTGGGGCCAGTCACTGGCCGTGGGGGAAGCGAAGTTGCTGCAACGGCCGCAACGCACCATCGCGGTCAAGATCATCCGTGTTTATCTCTTTCGAGGCGGCGTGTGTACTGGCTGGGACGCCGCCTTGGGTCCTGGAGGCGGAGGCGCTCGCCGCTAACTATCAGTGGCGGGCTAAGATTCGTGCCCGGGGCGTGGCGCGTCTCAGCCCCAGTGTGGTCAGAGCGCGGAGGGCCCAATCTCGGCGGTCCGTGCTGGAGTCATGGTCCAGGCGGCTGGCTGATCTTTCGGCTGGTCGTAGGACCGTCGAGGCGATTCGCCCAGTTCTTGTGAATTGGGTGAATTGTGACAGAGGACGTCTCATTTTCCGGCTCACGCAGCTACTCACTGGGCATGGTTGCTTCGGTGAGTTCCTACACCGGATCGGAGCCGAGCCGACGGCAGAGTGCCACCATTGTGGTTGCGACTTGGACACGGCAGAGCATACGCTCGTCGCCTGGCCCGCATGGGAGGGGTGGCGGCGTGTCCTCGTCGCAAAAATAGGAATCGACTTGTCGTCGCCGAGTGTTCTGGCATCGATGCTCGGTGACGAAGAGTCGTGGAAGGCGATGCTCGACTTCTGCGAGTGCACCATCTCGCAAAAGGAGGTGGCGGGGCGCGTGAGAGATGCACAGGCCCGCCCCCGTCGAGCGGGGTCCAGGGAAGCGCCCAAGCCCTGGCCCTCTTAAGTGTTTCGGGTCTCCCTCACATGTCGGCCTGGGGACCGGCGAAGGGGGCCTAAGAAGACGACGTGCAAGCTGCTCTGCATACGTTTTACGTATGAGCATCCGGGCGATGGAAGGCCGGCTATCCCCAACCCACCCTGGTTCTGACCCAGCGGGGTATTCCGTAGGATAGAACATTCTAACCGGCGCCACCTAGGCGGGCTTCGGACAGCCTGCCGACCGAGACGGCTGGTGGTCGTGGCGCCGACGACCACCAGTCCGGCATTCCGAGGGGGAGGGTGATGGGAGAGATGTGCTTCGCACTAAACACTTCACTTTCCCCCCTTTGCCTTTTCATGAGCTCTGTCTCATGCGAGGTTTGGATGCTGGTTGTTGAGCGACAGGAGGTTTTAGTCGGTTCGATTCCGACATGTCCCGCCCTCCATCCCCAGTGAAGGGCGGAAGTCCGGCGATTTCCACTTGACCAAAAAAAAAGGTGTGGCACTCGGGAACTGCGGCGGTAAAGCTATTGCATAGCATTTTTTATCAACTTATGACATTATAATTAGACAATGATAATTTAATATTAACACAATAATAAAACAAGACCACGCTATATTAAACCTTAATAAAGGCAAAACCTTAACTGTCCCCTTCACACTCATAAGCTAAACCGCGCGAGAGAGAGATGGGCAGAATTTTCATGATTCGCATGCAGTGTGACATCACGCCCCGCGCTTATTCACAAACACTACACAAGCGCAACGTGTGAATGTGTTGAACGCGAGCTACATGGTAGGCGGAGTGAGGGGTGTTAGGTTTTTTTCGTTACGGAATTTCATGATTCGGTCGTCGCGCTCAAGGCCCGCGATAAAAGCTATGCAATAGCTTAAAAATGTATGAACTTGTAATAAAATCTCTTTGGCTATACTATTTGTATCTGGCTGGTTTTGGTATCATTAAAAGTTTAAATTCGAAAGAAGATAATTCCAAATTAAAATTAGAAAGATGTGTGATTTTTATTTATTTTTCGTACTGTCAAGATGAGTGAATCTAATGAAGATATTCGATACATTTTAAAATTTTAAATTTTACAAAAGCAAAGCAAGCCGTGAAAAATTTTTGCGATGTTTATGGACCTAGTGCTGTGTCTGTGAGAGTAGCACAAATTTGGTTTAAGCGTTTTCAATCCGGAAATTTTGATGTCAAAAAAGCACGTCGCTCTGGTCGCCTTATTACGGATAAAATCGATGCCATTTTTGAAAAAGTGCGGCAAGATCGGCATATCAGTAGTTACAACGTAACTGAAGAACTGGGAATTGACCACAAAATAGTTATGGCGCATTTAAAAAAAACTGGGTACACAAAAAAGCTCACTGAAAGAAACCTAATGAACCGTGTACTCATTTGTGATTCTTTGTTACGACGTAATGAAACCGAACCATTTTTGAAGAAGCTGATAACTGGTGATGAAAAGTGGAAAACGTACGACAAGAACATACGAGAAAGGTTGTGGTCAAAGGCCGGTCAGGCTTCACAGACTCTGGCGAAACCCGGGTTAACTCGTAACAAGGTGATGCTGTGTGTGTGGTGGGATTGGAAGGGCATTATACATTATGAGCTGTTACCACCAGGCAGGACCATCGATTCTGAACTCTACAGCGAACAAATGATGAGATTAAAGCAAGAAGTTGAGAGAAAGCGGCTGGAATTAATCAACAGAAGGGGTGTGGTTTTTCATCACGATAACGCTAGACCTCACACATCTTTAGCCACTCAGCAAAATTTAAAAGAGCTTGGCTGGGAGGTGTTAATGCATCCGCAAGTTTTTGAACAATAATTATATACGCATTTCCATTTTATATAAAAATTATGATTCTTACATCAGTAATTTCTTATAAAATGCTAGGAAAATGCTTTAAAATGCCCTTATGTTAAAAACAAGAAAGAAAGTAAAGAAAACCTCAATTTGTGTTAGTTTACGTATGTGTAATATTTTAAAACTCTGCATGGTAGTTTTTTTTCTAATGTTTAAAATAATTTCTGGTGCAATGTAATTAAGGTAAAATTGCTCTAATTTTTTAACTATCATCGATCATGTTCCGCAGAAACTTGTTACAACTTGATTGCGTACGGTGTGTGGGCTATCCTACGAAATCTATGTTAATTATTTTAGGTTTTTATAACATCATACAGGGTAGAAATATAAACTAAGTATTCATTATTGTGTAGTAGGTGAGTTTTAATTTTAGTAAAATTTAAAATACTATAAAGTAAATGAAATTACAAATTTTACAGCGCCCCCCTAACCCACATCAACGCCCCCCATTTTTTCCTGGGCCCCTTAACGCCCCCCTCTAGGTTTCAAACGCCCCCCAGGGGGCGTTATCGCCCACTTTGAGAAAGACTGGTGTAGTGTAACAACAAAAAATTTCATATACTGTCTGTGTCTCAGCTGCTGAAGCAGAAGCAGAGAAAGAGAAGGAAAAAGAAAAAGAGCCCCAGAATGAACCAGAAGAGACGCCTCCTAGTCCTGGAGAGATACTGGACGAAAGTAAAGATATGGGTATGCTCCACAAATATTATTCAATCAGATAATTTCATTTCAATATGTAGTATTTATCAATATTCCAATCATAAACACTAATACCGAAACTGGTTTGAATGTTGTCGATGTGCTTAGCAATTTTTTTTTTTTTTTTTCTTATACGCCCTATGAATTGAATTTGCCAATCTCACAGTATACACGAAAATGTCAGGTGCTTAAATAATAAAAAGTAAATACAAATAAATTTGATCAGTTTTTGCATACGCAAACCTATGATTTTAAGAACAGCCCAAACATATTAGAATAACTACTATAAAGATAAATACTATTTTATTTGTAGACTAGCTGTACCCGTCCGCTTTGCTGGGCGTTTAAAATTAACATAATTATTTCTCATCCCCACAAAGATTCTCATCATTAACGCCCCCGCAGCTGGTGTAGGGACTCCAACACTCATATAAAATTAGCCTATCCATTAAGTATGTGTATTTTCTACATGGATACCAAGTTTCAAGTCAATCGGATGCACGGTTCAGTAGTTATAACGGAACATCCGTAAAAATTACTGTAGATTTATATATTAGTGTGGGATTTGCTCAAAGTAAATAGCAGTTTATAGGAAAAGTAACAAAATTTATTAGAATAACACTTCGTAATCGTTCACACTTACTATGCCCGATCGCGATCTTGACCATTTCCCCTCCGTCCCTTTCTTCCTCATACATTCATCCCTTTCACTCAAAACGTTCCGTTTCCTACATTAGTATAGATCAGCGGTCGGGGGACCGGGGTAAATTTTGGGGGGTAAAAATGAAACTTGTGATTAAAAAGTATATATATTGAAGTGAAACCTCTTTAGAATCGTTGTGATTTCAAACTCGAAGAAACGAAAAAAATTTTTTTTTGTTTTCAAAATTATCATGGTTGCTATAGATAATAATTTACAGCTGAACAATTAAAAAGTGTCATTAACTAAATGTGTGATGTTCCACAGAGACCTCAGAGAGGTCAGCCTCTCCGTTGTTTGGCTGTAAAACAGAACGGAAACGCGCCGTGGATGACAAACGACAGAATGCTATGGCCGCGTTGCGAGCTCAAAGGGCTTCGAGAGTGCAAAGAGCGCCGGCTGTAAGTTTCGCTTTATTTACTACACTTGGGCCATTACTATGACACTACCAGCTGACCCGGCAGACTTCGTAGTGCCTCGATCGCTAAATAAAAGACCTAAACTTTTGTATAAAATAAACTTAAAACAAACAAAAGGAATCCGTCCGACGGGGGACACATCAAAGTAAAAACAAAATTGTTATTTTTATTTAATTCCGAGCATTTTCATATTTATCTAAACCTTCTCTGGACTTCCACAAATAATTCAAGACCAAAATTAGCCAAATTGGTCCAGCCGTTCTCGAGTTTTAGTGAGACTAAGAAACAGCAATTGATTTTTATATATATAGATAGATAGTACTTAATAGCCTGACTTTGTATTGAATGGAATAAATAAATAAAAATAAAGAAATAAAACCTGCAAACTGTGTCTGCAAAGTTTCTCTGAAAGATCGAATACGGAACGAGGTGATCTGAAGTTTTGAACCGAAGCTATAGACATAGCACAGTGAATTAGTAAGCTGAAGTAGCAATCGGCTGGCCATATTAACCGATAACCGTTGAGGTAAACACGTTCTTGAGTGGAAAACGCACTGCAGGACGCCCTCAGGCTCGGTGGAGTGAGGATCTGTGCAGGGTAGCTGGTAGGAGCTGGATGAGAGAAGCCAGGGATCATGCTCAGTGGCGAGCAATTGGAGAGGCCTATGTCCAGCAGTGGATTGATGTAGGCTGATGATGAAGAACTGAGTCTTAAAACATGACGTCAAAGGAATATGACAATGCCACCCAACTCAATATCGATAAAGGGATGCCACTCGGGTTTAGGTAGCCAGATGATGTGGTCGATGTTGACTGGTACATGTAATTTGTAGGTTGTAGGTGTTTGTAAAATTGTGTTAAGTTATCATTAGACAATCCTACGAAACATGGAAGCATTATTTGATAACTTAACTTTGTTAAAATATAATTGTTTTTCTATTGTGTTATTAGATATTTGCAAAATGTTCAACATCAAATTTGTTGAAATATGGACCTTTCAATTTCGTTTCCTTTTTGTAAAATATAACCTAAACCTTTTTTTTTTTTTTTTTTTATTGCGTAGATGTGTGGACGAGCTCACAGCCCACCTGGTGTTAAGTGGTTACTGGAGCCCATAGACATCTACAACGTAAATGCGCCACACACCTTGAGATACAGTTCTAAGTTCTCAGTATAGTCACAACGGCTGCCCCACCCTTCAAACCGAAACGCATTACTGCTTCACGGCAGAAATAGGCGGGGCGGTGGTACCTACCCGTGCGGACTCACANCGTTGTGATTTCAAACTCGACGAAACGAAAAAATTTTTTTTTTTTTTTTTTTTTCAAAATTATCATGTGTGCTATAAGTATAAAAGATGCTAAAAAGTTGCGATTTCGTTTTTTTTTTTTTTTGTTCTTCGCCATGGGGTAATATCAACTTACACATAAATATTTTGGGGTAATAATTAAAAAAAAGTTCCCCGACCGCTGGTATAGATAAAAATTTACAGCTGAACAATTAAAAAATGTCGTTAACTAAACGTGTGATGTTCCACAGAGCCCTCAGAGAGGTCAGCCTCTCCACTGTTTGGCTGTAAAACAGAACGGAAACGCGCCGTGGATGACAAACGACAGAATGCTATGGCCGCATTGCGAGCTCAAAGGGCTTCGAGGGTGCAAAGGGCACCGGCTGTAAGTTTCGCTTTATTTACTACACTTGGGCCAATTAGTATGACACTACTAGCTGAACCGGCAGACTTCGTAGTGCCTCGATCGCTAAATAAAAGACCTAAACTTTTGTATAAAATAAACTTAAAACAAACAAAAGGAATCCGTCCGACGGGGGACACATCAAAGTAAAAACAAAATTGTTATTTTTATTTAATTCCGAGAATTTTCGTATTTATCTAAACCTTCTCTGGACTTCCACAAATAATTCAAGACCAAAATTAGCCAAATCGGTCCAGCCGTTCTCGAGTTTTAGCGAGACTAACAAACATCAATTGATTTATATATATATAGATAGTACTTAATAGCCTAACTTTGTATTGAATGGAATAAATAACTAAAAATAAAAAAAAAAAAACCTGCAAACTGAGTCTGCAAAGTTTCTCTGAAAGATCGAATCCAGAACGAGGTGATCCGAAGTTCTGAGCCAAAGTTATAGACACACATAAACGGAATGTGACAATGACACCCAATACAATATCGATAAAGGGATGCCACTCGGGTTTAGGTAGTCAGATGATGTGGTCGATGTTGACTGGTACATGTAAATTGTAGGTTGTAGGTGTTTGTAAAATTGTGTTAAGTTATCATTAGACAATCCTACGAAACATGGAAGCATTATTTGATAACTTAACTTTGTTAAAATTTAATTGTTTTTCTGTTGTATTATTGAATATTTGCAAAATGTTCAACATCAAATTTGTTGAAATATGGACATTTCAATTTCCTTACCTTTTTGTAAGGTCACCTAAACCTAAAATAAAATAAATACAATTATTTATTTATTCAACAGGACGCTGAAGCAGATTTAATAGGCGGCTCGAGCAAACAGACTGTGAAACTTAAAGCTTCAGATATTTATTCGGACGACTCCGGCTCTGAATCTGAAGATAATAAATCAGGTGTGGCTCAAATTTACATCTCAAGCCTCGTGGTCTGATGGGCTAGGAACATGATATATGTCTGATCAAGTGATGAATCCAACACACGTTTCAAATTCTGGGGCAGGGACCAATTCGTATGTATGTTGTTGTTTGGGAACTTTAATGATGGACAAATGAAATGTCCGAACATGTGGTGGTAGGACCTCTTGTGAGTCCGCACGGGTAGGTACCACCACCCCGCCTATTTCTGCCGTGAAGCTGTAATGCGTTTCGGTCTGAAGGGCGGGGCAGCCGTTGTAACTATACTGAGACCTTACAGCTTATATCTCAAGGTGGCGTTTACGTTGTAATGTCTATGGACTCCAGTAACCACTTAACACTAGGTGGGCTGTGAGCTCGTCCACCCATCTAAGTAATAAAAAAAAATTTAATTAACTACTGATGCATTATTACCTCTTGGTCAGTTTCAAGTGGACCAGACACTGTACATTAGTAAATGATGAGATTGTGATATGAAAGACATCAAAATACTATACACTTGTTGACTTGTTGACCTGCTCCCCTTAATCGCTGGGCATATCTTCGAAGATGGTACTAATGGTCGAGCACAATGTGGTTCTCTGTTAAATATCTAAGACCACTTTGGCAAATTGATTCATTTTAGGCGGCTTTTTAACAGTATCAGGCTATACAATAATATGGTGTATATATATACATAACGTATTAGCGTTCCTCTATATTACATTTGATTCTAATTATGTAATACAATTTTTTAAGGTCCTTTTTTTTCAAATGCGCTATATGCTACATATTATTATTGATAATACTTTGAGGGGTCTCGACAAAAATAAGATCTTTCACTGAGCAGGTGATATTGCTCGGTAGACTGACACTCTGAATGTTGTTGTTCGGAACTTGTATATGTGCAAGCTTATCATGGTATAGTGACTATACCATGATAAGCTTGTATATATACTACTATACTATAGTCGTAAGCTAGATTTAGGTATCTGTCAAAGATCTTGTGTTGTGATAGCTACCGACACAATACTAAAGTTTATTACTAGCCGTAAACAGAGTAAACGGTACTTAACTTCTATTGTTACCGTTTATTGAAGGGGATTCCCATCCCCCCTTCATTACAGAGGGTCTTTGTGCTTCAGTTTGATGAGATACGATCGCTAGACAATACACCTTTTTTTTTAAGGGATTTTATGACCTGGTAACTAAGACCTTTAGGCCATGTCTAATTTTAATTTTAATTCTTATTTTCATGAAAAATTATAATCGAGTGAAATGAAATGATATGGGATGACATAATAAAATCTCAGTAAAACGGTGGTCATCTACTGAGACATTTTCAGTGAACTTTTTGGAGGATCCCGAGAAGTTACGTTCAGCGGCTTTGTTTCATTTTCCCGCGTTTGTGCACTTTCACAGATATTAAACAGTTAATAAACCACTGTTACTACACATTTAAACCTGAAGAAACACTAAATAGACAAAATAAAACAAATCACACAACTTCACTCCTCGCGTTCCCGCCAAAAAGTCTCCAAAACAAACCTAATCTCATTCGGCCCACAGAAGTTAAACTTCGAAAATAAAATCTTAAATATATGTTGACAGCTCGGAGAAGTTCCACGAGTTCATCCTCGTCCGGTGCAGAAGAAGAAGAGAGAGAGAAGAAACGACAAGAAGTGGAAGTCAGATACGCCGACACCAGGGAACAAATCAACAAACTGCGCTTAAGCAGGTCAGTTTAGTATTGACGAGCTCACGATCCATCCGGTGTTAAAAGAGACTGCCTTGAACCATAAGGACGAAATATTAATTAACATAAGGGCGAAATATAATCGCACTAGAATCATGAAGGATACACATACACGTGCCGGCTTGCAATATTAAATCAGTATTTTGATATTGTGGAGAGTTCTTCAACTTTATTTCTAACCAAGCGGCCCGCTCCGGCTTCGCTCGGGTCTTTAACAAAAGTTTTAGTAAGGATCCCTAATTTTTTAAAAAAAAATATAGCCTATGTCACTCGGAGATAGTGTAGCTTCCAAACAGTGAAAGAATTTTTCAAATCGGTCCAGTAGCCGGTCGGAGCCTATTCAATACAAACAAACAAACAAATATTTCCTCTTTATAATATTAGTATAGATAGGTCTGACCTGTGAGATTTGTAGAAATAAGCACCTAACCTTAAGTACAGTCTGAATCAGTACTTGATTCACTGTCTATATCTATTTATCATAATATGATAATATAGCCATTATGTGGTGTTGCAAGAATAGAGATTAATAAAATCTATACTAATTATGACCTTAGAACTATATCTCAAGGTGTGTGGCGCATTTACGTTGTAGATGTCTATGGGCTCCAGTAACCACTTAACACCAGGTGGGCTGTGAGCTCGTCCACACAGGTAAGCAATAAATAAAAAAAGATTTGAAAAATTATTTCAGTGTTAGATAACCCATTTATTGAGGAAGGCTATATAACATCACGCTAAGACCAATACAAGTGGAGCACCATTAAAGAATGTTTCGAAATAGGGGTTTAAATAGCTCCTTAACATTCTATAATTCAAAAATTCTACGTAAATGAAGTGAGGGTAAAATTTAGTGTTATGCCATAGTAACTATTTCACACGGACGTAGTCGCGGGAAAAAGCTAGTTACTAAATATGTCCCTACAGTAAACGCATATAAATTGGAGTGGACATTTTTATAACTGCCTTAAAAGGCAGACGATTTCTCGAGCAACCTACCAGTGTCTCTAGAATTCATAGACGTCAACTTGACAACAGATAGTAGAGGTCTGAATTGTACAGAATAACGGCTCTATCTTCTAACTGTAGCATGATGACTTCACTAAGTAACATATAGTCTCGTCGTCAGGAGATTACCTGGAAGCCATTCCAGGTACCACATTTTGGTTCAATGCAAGTTGGATTTTGACCCGGATATCGTCTTGTCACATTAAAACTGTATAATCTCAAAACTTACTAATTTTATAGGAGAGTGTTTTAAAGGATTAACTTGTCATATTTTTAATGTTAATCATCTTTGCAACATTTTTTTTTTTTCTCCTACCTACACCGAAAGTTCGGTTTTCCTCCCGCCGTACAGGGAAGAAAGTTAATTTTTCCTCCCTGGGTACTGACAAGTGCGCATGCGCGTTTTTGTCTATGCTCTCACGCACCTGAAATTCTCCGCCATTGTTGTGCTCGGGTAATCTGCATATTGTGTTTAGTGTAAAAGTGAAAGGCAATAAAATTTAATAGTGAAGTATTAAACAAAGCTCATCAGACAGTTCTTATTCAGTTAGTAGTAGTTTATTTAAAAATAAAAAAACAGTTAAATTGTTTTTTATGAGTATGGGCCTCCCTCCCCCTCCCCCTGCCCCCTACCCCCCGCCAGGGTTTCACCCCTAGACCCCGGCTCGCGTGTTTGCCACGCGGGATGAGACGTTCTACTTTTCTCCCGCGGTGCACAATGTACTATTATTTTTTACCATTACATACATACATTACATTATCTGTCTTTTAAAGTAAGATACTATTATGTATTAATTTTGTTAATAGTATTCAAAATATAAGTAAACTAAAAAAAATATACACTAAACTACGCTCATTTGACAGTATTTATGAGAAAAAATACTTGTGATACCAAATGATTCCGCATATTAACTCAAATTGTACAATTTTAATGCGAAAAGACGATATGTCAAAAAACTATCAGTATCCAAATGAAATAAGATTACCGTTACATCTTCAAAATGTTATCGGGTATATATATTTTGATCAATATATATATATTTTGTTGCAGATTCAAACTGGAAAGACTGGTCCACTTGCCGTTTTTCACTCGTGTTGTCACAGGGTGTTTCGTCAGGATCGGCATAGGGAATAACAACGGGAATCCTGTATACAGGGTACGTATATATTAATATTATGTTTACTGGTGGTAGGACCTCTTGTGAGTCCGCACGGGAGGTACCACCACCCTATCTGTTTCTGCCGTGAAGCAGTAATGCGTTTCGGTTTGAAGGGTGGGGCAGCCGTTATAACTATACTTGAGACCTTAGAACTTATATCTCAAGGTGGGTGGCGCATTTACGTTGTATCTGTCTATGGGCTCCAGTAGCCACTTAACATCAGGTGAGCTCATCCACACATCTAAGCAATAAAAAAAATAAAAAAACGCTAAAAATTCTACCGAAGTACAAATTAACGCTGTATTGTCACTTAGAACACTTAATGAACACTTTAAAATTCTCAATTCACTTCTTCCGCTTCGCTTCAAGTGATCCGTTCGCTGTTTCGCTTCGAGTAGTTCCGATTACTAAGGGCGTGCCATCTCTGCAACGCTTTTATAATCGATACGACATCCCTAGTATTATTGAGAACATTCCTCACAAGTCGAGTATTTTTGATATTCGTTTCCGTCTTCTGACAATAGATGGCGTTGTACTTCTCGAACGTTCTAGGTTTCACTGGTACTTTTGATATTCGTTTTTGCTATTCGACGATAGATGGTGTTGCTCTTGCCGGCGTAACAATTTGTTCTGCTAAATTCATAATTATTTAGATTTTTTTTTTTCTCTTGAATTTGTGTAACTGAATAAATACAGAAATTGTTTATAATTATTTAGTACTAGCGACCCGCCCTCGCTTCGCTTAGGAAACATTAAAATTTTATCATTGATAGTTGAGTCCCGCGATGTCACCCGCGGCTATTGTCGTACCGCGGGTGACGCCGCGGGGCGAAGCTAATCTAAAAAAAAGTAGCCTAAGTTACTCCTTATATCATCAGCTACGTATCAGGAAAGTCCCGTCAAAATCGGTCCAGCCGTTCCAGAGATTAGCCGGAACAAGCAGACAGACAAAAATTGTAAAAAAAATTATTTAGGTGTATGTACCGATACATATTCATATGCATGTAGTAAAAAGCGGCTATTTCAATATTACAAACAGACACTCCAATTTTATTTATATGTATAGATTAAGAGAACTGAAGCCCGTGAATAAATAAATAAATATGTTTCAGGTGGCAGAGATCATAGACGTGCACGAAACTGGGAAGGTTTATAACTTGGGCAACACAAGAACAAATAAAGGCTTCAAATTGAGGCACGGAACTCAGGATAGAGCGTTTAGATTGGAATTCGTCAGTAATCAGGTAAATACGTATTTTGTTTTGCAATTCGGTGGATCTATTTTCCTATTTTCTAACTTAAAATGTTTCTACGTCCCAGTAGAGATTATTTCATAAGGCTTCATTTCTCTTAAGAGGTCTCCGTGGTACCCCAGGACAACAACAACTTGCACCATACTCTTATTTGAACAAGTATGGTGTACCTTAATGCATTGCTTACACTCGTCTGATCAGGTGATAAAAAATGGATTTACAAAATTGTTGCTACTGTTACGCGCTGGGGTTCGGGATAAATAAAATTTCACCAAAGTACAACTGAAAACTGTATTCTACACTTAGAACACTTAAAACACTCGACAAATCCTTTAAAACTCTCAATTCGCTTGTTCCGCTTCGCTTCAGGTGATCCGTTCGCTGTTTCGCTTCGAGTAGTTCCAATTACTAACCGACTGCGTGCCATCCCTACAGCGCTTTTATGGTCGATACCTCATCCCTAGAATTATCGAGAATATTCCGTACATCTCTAGTAGTCGTTCCCGCTATATGACAATAGATGGCGTTGTCCTTCTCGAGCGTTCTAGTTCCTTCGATATTCGTTCGACTATTCGGCGATAGATGGCGTTACTCTTACTAGCGTAACACTGCTTTAATGATAACTTTTTAAAGGAGATACAATTTACTATTAAAACGGCCGCACTAGAAATCGATTGGACAGGTCTATGTACAGCAGTGAACAGTAGACGGACTGAGATGATGATGACAATGACAATGTCAATGTATCGTTCTTCTCCTTTGATAGGAATTCACGGACGGAGAATTTCACAAATGGTACAAAGCTCTAAAGGACGCGAACAAGAAGCCGCCCACCATGGACTTCGTCAGGAATAAGATCAACGAAGTCAAGCAGGCGCTCATGTACGAATTTAAGGTACGCTATGTCAATTTTATGATATTTTTACTTGTAGGTTAGTTATGTTTATAAAAATGCTCAAGGGCATGCATCCTCCACGATAGTAATAGGTTAGTTAGTAGTGTAATTGTTTAATTGTATATCTATACTAACTAGTGGTCCCGCAGTAGTCGAAATTCGTCTATAATTAATTGAAATTATAAGTTTGAACATTATCATGGTTATATTGTCAAAGACTATTATACTTCTATAATCACAGATTTCGCCAAGACCATAGATCAATAATATTAAAGATAAACTGTATTAATCTATTCTCAAATTGACCACAGACTTTAAGCATTAACAAAAGTTTGACAATAAACAAAGAGTGTTTATCTGTGAGTGTGTGAGTGTGTCAAATACACGGTAGTGTGTGTAATGTTTTTTTATATTGATTTAATATATTATTAATGCATAATTTAAATAAAATATTAGCATTCTGCACTCGTTCTCTATATTCTCTATAAGTGTGGGAAATTTCATACTCCTCCGTCCGCGCAATCTTCGTAAAAAGGGGTACAAAGTTTTTGCTTCACGTATTAATCTATTAAAAATGAATTGCTGTTCGTTAGTCTCGCTAAAACTCGCTAGAACGGCTGAATCGATTTGGCTAATTTTGGTCTTGAATTATTTATGTGGTAGTCCAGAGAAGGTTTAAAAGATAGATAATTAAGAAAATGCTCGGAATTAAATAAAAATAACAATTTTGTTTTTCGTTTGATCTGACCCCCGTCGGACGGATTCTTTTGTTTGTTTTAAGTTTATTTTATACAAAAGTTTAGGTATTTTATTTATCGATTGAGGCACTACGAAGTCTGCCGGGTCAGCTAGTTTTACGATATTTTTACTTGTAGGTTAATTGAGTCGTCTATTATCAAAGGTGGCAATCTGTGAATTTGGATAAAATATTTTTATTGATATGTCAATACAGATTGATTTGAATATAATCGTCTCCTTCAAAGAATACGGTTCAAAACCTTCACTAAATAAAGGTTAATAGTTAACCTGTTATTTATCTAAGATTTCGTTCCGAAGAGTTTTGTGACTGCCAATGGAATACAAAGTCAATAATTCGTTTTTCTGATTTACCAATCATTGTCCAAAAGTCAGATTGCCGCCTTTGATAATAGTCGACTCAATTATGTTTATAAAAATGCTCAAGGGCATCCTCCATGCTAGTAATAGGTTAGTAGAGTAATTATGTAATTGCATATTGTGAATAAAATCATTTCCTTACATTATAAGGTAGATTAGTTTTCGTGATCGTGTTGTTTTGTCGTATAGTTGTAAAGAATGTTGTGTACAAATTCAGCACTTTGTCTTGTTTAGTCGTGCGCACATAACTTATGTTGCAAGCCAGATTTTGTTTCTTTTTACTTGTGTTTTTTGAAGTTATACTTCTTTAGGCGCGTTATGAAAAATTGAGGAGAGTGAAATTTTACGATGCGCGCGCACCGTGACACATAATTAACAGAATGAAGTTGCCCACTAAATCGCTCATTACAATACGACCGACGTAACTTGGCGAGTCTGAATATAGCCGCAGGTGAACATTCCGAACCGTACCGAGAATTACCGAATTTATACGATGTCAAGAAAAGTGATGTCCGTTAAGCGTGTTTGAGGATGTTGTTTGATTGTTTGTTGTTTGATGTTCAAATTGATTAAAATTTAAATAAAAAAAAAGAAATAAATTTAATAAAAAAAAGTATAACTTCTTACGTGTACACGCACCTTTTTTTATGTATCTTTTTAGCTCGTGATGTGTATTGTGAGCTTAATAAATAAATAAATAAATTTGAATCTCAGACAAAGTTAGTATGAAAGTAAACATCAAACAATCTATAAATGACAATAACTTCTTTCAGCTTTTGTAGGCATCGCCTTGGCTCTGTCCCTGACATTGCTGATGTCCATGGAAACCACTTACCATCGGGTGGGCCGTGTGCTTAAATGGTGCTTATGCTTAAAGGCAATAAATACCCTTAGTGCCATATTACTATTAGGATTTAACGAACTTTGGTCATAGGCGTGTGGGTGTTATTTAACGCAAAAACTTTAATTTTATTAACAGGAAGAAGATATTGAGAAAATAGTGGCAGAGAAGGAGAGGTTCAGATCTCACCCGACCAACTATGCGATGAAAAAGACGCAACTTATGAAAGAGAGGGACGTGGCACAACTGAGGTATGAACAACATGCGCTTGTATGCAGGGACGTCTTAAACTAGGATGGGGCCCTTGGGCACACAAGAATTTGAGGCCCTTTTGGAAATCAAAAAAAGCGAATTATAATAACATTTTTTTATTGAGTATGAGACTATTTATTATAGCTAATCAAATACAGTATGATATAATATGTCATTAATTATATTAGAATGCTCCTGGTTTTTTGGTTACGATTTCGATAACGGTTTCTTTCGGGATTTCTGTTGAGCAAAATCTTCTATTATAGGCATAGTATATGCCTTGTAAATACCTTCTGATTACTGATTTGTGAAAAAAGTGTAATGTGCCCGACAAAAATGTTTTGAGAATAAACGTGGGAGAGAAATTGTCGGTCTTTCAGGGCCCCCTGAGAATGGGGGCCCTGGGCACGGGCCCCGTGTGCCCTTATGGTAAAGACGGTATTGCTTGTATGAATGTACACATATGTGTCTCTGGTTTCCGTGGTACAGGGAATCCTAGTCTCTGGGCAGAAGACCATGAGAGAGAGAGAGAGGGAGAGAGTATTCTTTATTGTACACCAACAAAAAAAACAATGCGAAACATTAAATACAAAAAAAGTACAATTTCAGTTTTATCGCTAATAGCGATATCTTCCAGACAACCATCAGGTGGAAAAGAATCATTTAGAAACGAATTTCACACAGTGTACCAATAAATTAATATATATATATATATATATCCACTATTATACACATACATATATATACACCATTTCTTTACATATATACATGTAAATATACAATGTAATGTAATAATAATTTTGCTTCTTTACACATAAATAAGAATAAACAATTACATATTTAAAATACCTATGAAAAATAAATATACAATTGAACCATGTATGATTTGTTATTCATGTATTTCGATTTGTTTAACTTAATTAATATTATTATGATAACAAAAGGCTAACGTGATATTATTATGATAATAAAAGACTAACGGTCCTATTTCTAATTATCGAACAGGGGTGACGATGAACTGGTGATGGACCTGAACTCCAAGATCGAAGAGTTGGAGGAGCGCGCCAACCAGCTCGATAAGACGCGGACCTCGTCCATACAGAGCATCTCGTACATCAACAACAGGAACCGGAAGCTGAACGTTGAAACCGCCGAGAAGGCTATCATGGAAGAGGTACTTGTCTCCGACTGAAGATTATTCTCATTCATGAATAATTAGTTATAAGAGAAAGAATTGTTGCATTAAATTGGCCATTGAACCTTTTTTTTTATTGCCTTTGTACGCAGACCAGCATACGGCCCACCTGATGGTAAGTGATCATCGTCGGTCATGGACGTCAGCAATACCAGGGGCAGAGCCAAGCCTATGTCTACCATTAAATTTGTTTGTGAAATATAACTAAAATTGAATCACTGAATAATATTGTACTTCCGGAGCCAAAAGATTCAGATCACATGTCTAAAGCTAAACAACGATATTCACTTCCATTTGACAATGATCACCTAGTTCAAGCTATCATACGATACCATAATAGCCCCACAGGCTACCAGCCAATATGTAGTGAAACAGAAAGGCTCAGAACCACCATCCTGCCTATGTCTCTAGGTCACCGTCCTTGTCGAACCCATCGCTTGCGACGAAGGGCTCGGCGACTAAATTAACCCACAGACACAGCCCACTGAGTTTCTCGCCGGATCTTCTCAGTGGGTCGCGTTTCCGATCCGGTGGTAGATTCTGCGAAGCACGGCACTTGCTAGGGTTCGTGTTAGCAACATCGTCAGGTTTGAGCCCCGTGAGCTCACCTACTAGTTAAGGTTACGCTGAATTAGCCTCTTAAGGCTATCAGGTTAGGTAGAAAAAAAAACCCATGTCCGCCGTGAAATAGAGATGTGTTCAATTAGAATTGCAATTATTTATTGCAATGATTACTGTTTCAGGTCAAAGCGAATAAAGGAAAGAAAACAGACGACCCATTCACGAGGCGGCACACCAAACCCGTCATGAACTTTAAATCACAAAGCAGCAGGAGTCAGGTGAGAGAATGGGACACTATTGACTCTGTCATTGTCAACATTAGACTGTCAACTGTGAAACACACTTAGGCATATTGTATGTATAGAGGGAAGAATTAAGGAGCACCATCTTGTATGGGGGACAATTTGAAAAATTATTCACCTGTAGCAAGTTATTGCTTGAAGACTTACCGAAACAGTGGTAGCATATGAAGTAGAAATGATATGAATATATAGCAGTTTTAAACAGAGTGAAATGTGGTAGTTTTAGTTGCTGTTTTTAAAAACTTTCACACATAATTGGCTTCCTTCCAGTGGATATTTTTTAATACACTGAGATGATGCTTCTTATTTCCACATTCCATAATAGTATAACAAATAGGAGTGAAAAGCAATACTCTATTATTATTTATTTTATTTCAACGAATGTTACTTTGTAGCCTGTGTTGGTCAAATTTGCATTGGACATATGATTCGGATTTAGATGACATTTCACACAAACAAAATTTATGAATTCATCATAGAATTTTATGGAGATAAAACTCTCTCTAGAGAGTTCAGTCTATTTTTATTTTGTAATTACAAATTTAATTTGACTGCAAAGCGCAACGCGGATTCTACATACAGGGGTCATAGGAATATGCTGAGGTGCCTCTAAAAGTAATTCGTAAATTGTTTCAGGAGCTAATAAGCAATCAGCAGGCCGCAGCCGTGGAAGCCCAGATACAAATTGAGGAAGAGAGGATGGAGAAGGAGAAAATTGAGAGAGATAGACTTGAAGTGAGCTTTATGTGATGCTTATATGAATTTGTAATATCTGTGTGCGAGAATTTCAAGATTTTGTTTCTTTAACCAAAATGTTATAATAGTTAAACAAATTTTACCAATAAATCTCTTGTAATACTTAACTAAACAATTACCAATGTTTCGATTATATTAGAAAATTGTAGGGATTCACGGACGATTAATGATGGCGTTTTTAATTTGTCACTTTACCCTATTTGGAAGGCAGGGTCAAAAGGTCACATCACATTTATTACAAAACATTTACTCTGAACACATCATAATGATGACTTGAACTGACGAGATGAATCTAAGTGTCTCCGAAAAACAGTAGAATATCGTACAACCTCAAAATGTTCTAAAAAAATATGAATTGAATAATTTACAATAATTTTAGTTGACACCCGGCTGGGTAGGACGCGCGTCACCAGCGGGTCAACGACCTCCGACGGCACGCAGCTGTATAGAGGTCGTTGACACTATGACATACGTGGTCTCATCAATTTTTTTTTGTATTTTTCTTTTGCATCATTTCTGAGATATAATGTGGGTAATGTTGAGAAATGTTTTTTTTTTCTTTTTTTATTGCTTCGTTGGGTGGACGAACTCACAGCCCACCTGGTGTTAAGTGGTTACCGGAGCCCATAGACATCTACAACGTAAATGCGCCACCCTCCTTGAGATATATGAGTTATAATGTCTCAGTATAGTTACAACGGCTGCCCCGCCCGTCAAACCGAAACACATTACCCGCGCGGACTCACAAGAGGTCCTACCACCAGTAAAATGTACTCGATATTCAATATGTCGCATCCAATCCCCCTGCATCGAGCCATATCCCGGCCCCGGCTGATGGTTATTGTCATGTCCAACAGAACCACGAGGAGTCGAAGAGGTCCCGCGGCGAGCACCCCACGTCCAGCGACACCAGCCTGTACTCGCTGCACGACTTCGAAATTAACATAGACCTAGATCTACCCGCAGCAAGTAAGTTGTAGCGACCAGCTATTCCCTACCACTGCCTGTCTTTTATTACCTAGATTTTATTGACTTGTCTTTGACCTGCCTACACAGGGTAACAACCATCTGGTACTTAAGTGATAGCTGCTAGATATTACAAAGTGAATTTTATCGCCCACCTCAAGATGTAGAACCAAAGTCATGTTTTTTTTATATTTATTGCAAAATAGTGACCCGCCCACGCTTCGCTTCGGAAACTGTAATATATTATTGATTTTTCCACTATTTAACGGATGTTATTATACATATAAACCTTCCTCTTCAATCACTCTATTAAAAAAAACCGCATCAAAATCCGTTGCGTAGTTTTAAAAATTTAAGCATACATAGGGACAGAGAAAGCGACTTTGTTTTATACTATGTAGTGATTATATTGGCTCGTCTTTGACCTGCCAGCACAGGGTAGCAACCTGTGGCCATGGGCGACGGTAACCACTCACCATCAGGTGGGCCGTATGCTCATCTGCCTACTAGGGCAATAAAAAAATTAAACAATCTGGGATTTAAGTGATAGCTGCAGTCCATAGATATTACAAAGTGAATCTCATCTTCCACCTCAAGATCTAGGACCAAAGTCATGTTTTTTATTTATTGCATATATAGACGGACGAGCTCACAGCCCACCTGGTGTTAAGTGGTTAGCGGAGCCACCTTGAGATACGAGTTCTAAGGTCTCAGTATAGTTACAACGGCTGCCCCGCCCTTCAAACCGAAACGCATTACTGCTTCACGGCAGAAATAGGCGGGGTGGTGGTACCTACCCGTGCGGACTCACAAGAATTCGTACCACCAGTAAGTTTATTATTTATATAGTGGTTGTTCTGCAGATAGCAAGTTGGTAAAGGCTCCATCAGTACTAGTTTCTAGAACTATTTTCCTCTGTAGCTTGTTTTCAACGTGTCCTCATACTCATTAAACTTTAAAAGACTCTCCTGTAAAGTTAGCTTATAGCAATAGTCTTTCACACCCTATGTTTATTTTGATACGTATTATATAAAAAAAAGAAGTTTCTTCATATTAGTGATAAAACTATTAATTGGCCTTTATGTTACTAACGTATGTATACTAATATATAAATCTACAGTGGCTTTTACGGATGTTCCATTATAACTACTGAACCGTGCATCCATCCGATTGACTTGAAACTTGGTATCCATGTAGAAAATACATGTACTTAATGGATAGGCTAATATTTATATGAGTGTTGGGCTCCCTAATAATAATGACAATAAATTTTAATAATAATGTTAACTATTAATGCCCAGCGACGCGGGCGAGTACGGCTAGTTATTGTACCAGTATATGGTGTGACAACATACAGTTCTCCGTTAAGTTCCAGTTAATTGTTTATAGAATCCGTGTCGAGCCAGCCGAAGCAGGTGACGACGAAGGTCAAGGAGACGGGGCCCAAGCGCTCGCTCAACCTCGAGGAGTACAAGAAGAGGCACGGGCTCATTTGAGTGTCGCCGCCGCCCCGCGGTCCCCCGCCCGGCCCCCCGACTGGGAACCATCCGGTGTGCTTTGGATTCGTGAAGATAATTAATACAAAAGTGAAGTTCAACTGTGGAAGTGTGTCGGAGCGAAAAGCGCGCGAGTGTTGCCAGGAATTTGAAGTTGTGTTTGTGCAGTGGCAACACTGAACTCATTGCAATAGTGTCGAGTGATATTGAGCCTCTGTGAAGTTAATTTTAATCGATGATTGTGCGAACAAATATACATTAGGACTCGAATGATACGTTGATTTTAATGAAAATGTTTGAGTTATGGCGTCGTGATCTTACCGCCAAGTGGGACTTACATAACGAACCTACCTTACTATAGACACACGCATACTCATGTTACTTATTGCTCAGTCAAGTAACGTGCTAACGACTCGTCTGGCAGTAAGTTGTTCGTGTAGCAACGCGATCGCCGCCAGCTGCCTTGAGGCTTGAGGTCTGCGTCTCAACAGTCACTATCAATTGAGGTTACCGCCCCAGCTCATTGAAGCCTTTATTCTCATGCATCATCATATCGAGGGTTGATAATTCTATTTAATGAATCAATTTCTTGGTATGGAGGCGTCTTCAGTAAACACGCGATCGAAATACAAATTCCACCTTTAGAAATTAAATGGCTTAACAAATTCTTTTAAAGAAAATGTTTTATACTTTGTACGACTTACAATCAATATCGTCGCTGTCAAACCAAAATCTGCTATGTAAATTTTATATGAAGTTGAATTTTTAAGAACTATATCAAATGAAAGCCGTAAATTAATATTAAAGCTATAGACACAACAGTTCTTTTTATACAGTAGATATAAGGCTGTGAACTATACGAAAAGGTCAAAAAGTAAAAATCTCAAAAAGTGCACATAGCAGATTTTGGTTTGACAACTGCGATATGTATTCAATCGTTTTATTAAAAATAAACTGTCCTAGAAAAGGACAGGACTTACTGTTTCCGTTTTTTTTAAATCAAGTGTCAATCTTAAAGTATTAAAATAGAAAATACAAAAAAAAACCTCAATTACATTTTTGGAATTTGAGTTTACCAAAAAAAATAATTTTGAATTAAAGCCATTTCAATTCTAAAGCTGCGAAATGTAACAAATACGTGAACTATATAATATTTCTTTTAACGGATCGACTACCTATACAATCGTCTGGTCAGTTGTTATTCACAATGTCAATTGTCGTGACAAAGATACCTGGGATAATGTAAATATCGAGGGGCGAAAAACTATTCGGCTTAAGCGACATTTTTGCAATTCTTTTAGCCATTTCAAGTTTAAAATTTGGAAAAATATCATAAAAAAAAACTAGCTATTCAACTAAAGTAAACTTAATTGAGGTTCAATTAAAAAACATTTAACTGTTGATGCTAATGCCAAATAAAATAGACCTTTAATTAATTACAAAGGTAAATGTCACTTAAACCAAATAGCCTTTTGCCCCTCTATATATATTCATACAGGATATATTGTTAGGCCTTGGAAAGTTCTCGAAGGCTTCTACGTTTATCGACATAAAAAAAAACTAGAAATGACTCATTAAAAAATATATATGACTTTTAGATTTAGATATATATTTTTTTATATTTTATTTCTCTGTGGAGGGTAAAGACGAGACGAGAGGTCTTTGTGAGGGAAAAATTCACAAAATATCCGGCTGTGAGCTCTTGTATGCAATTGGAAAACTCATTAAAACAGCATTAGAGTAGGTAATGTCATATAAATATAGTAAATATAAGTAGAGTGAAGGTTGTCGAGTTTTTTAGTTATTTATTGCTTAGACGGGTGGACGAGCTCACGGCTCACTTGGTGTTAAGCGGTCACCGGAGCCCGTGGACATCAACAAGATAAAGGACAATCAGTTTTATAGTACAACGTCTGCCCCATCCTACGAAACGCATTACTGCTTCACGGCAGGAATAGGCAGGATGGTGGTACCTACCCGCGCGGACTCACAAGACGTCCTACCAGTAAATTCGACGCCATCTTTGAACTGACGCTTCTCTATACTGGTCGCTTTTCTAGCGTATAGAATGTGTTCCTTGGACTTTTTGGCGGGAACGCAAGGCGTGAAGTTGTATGATTTGTTTTATATTGTGTATTTAGTGTTTCTTCAGGTTTAAGTGTTTAATAACGGTGGTTTATTAACTGTTTAATATCTGCGAAAGTGCACAAATCTGGGAAAATGAAATAAAGCCGCTGGACGTAACTTCTCGGGATCTTCCAAAAAGTCCACTGAAAAAATCTCAGTAAATGACCACCGTTTTACTGAGATTATATTTCATCCCATATCATCTCATTTCATTTAATTTCATCCCGGTTGATTAATGTCTCAAATTAATCATGTTCGTTTGACTTCATTTATCATTTTTCATAAAAATAAGAATATAAATTAAAATAAGACATGACTTAAAGGTCTTAGTTACCAGGTCATAAAATCCCTCAAAAAAAAAAAGGGAATGTGCTTTTTTCCCTCTGCCCTCCGTGCTGTTATGGGAATGATCTTTTAATTGCATTCCGACAATGTTAGGGAGCTTTCTGTACTTAAGCTAGGAACTTGCAGGCTCTACGGAGCACGGCTTTTTTTATTTTAAAGGGGAACGTGAGCATGCTCACGAGCGCTCACCCCCTCCAGCTGTCAAGTCGGAATGCAATTATAAAGCCCTAATATAAACTTAATTATCAATAGATAGTTTTCGTAATTTATTTATTAAATTAGATTTAATGCCTTTTTTTCTAGTAATGTCTACTTTAAGGTTATGAAAGCGAAGTTATAACAAACTTGTATGTTATATTGTTAAGTGACCAGTTCCGTCTGCGTGTAAAGGAACGCGTCAATACTAAATGTTGAAATTTGCAGTGGGCCCTGGTGATCGCTTAACAACAGCCGGAACCCCTCAGTCCAAATAGCGCCACCGGAAAAGATTCTTTTGAACTACTGATTTATGTTATTAAAAAAAACAAATAAATAAATCATGAAAAACCGCAATTTTTATTTTATCCAAGGCAATCGCAGCAGCTTATGACGTCACTTGTAAGTACTGTTGTCTACGTCGAAGTAATTCGTGCGAATATAAAATTCAGCTGAAGGAAGTTTTACGGACTAACATATTAAGGTGTGTTTACACGCGACATTATTTTGTTCATCAAAGAAGCTCTTGTGTAATCGGCCCTTTAATAAAAATATCGTGGCTTTATAAGTAAGGCCTCCTCTGCTTTTATACTAACCAATCGTCCGTTTATATCTTTTACTGTGTATGTTATCTAGTGTAATCGGATTATTAAATACATTGACGAGAAACTGTTTGTTTTATTGGCGTTGATCGGCAAACGAGTCCTCGTAGGGCCTAAACTGGCCGATTCATAGATGTCGGGAAAGGCAAAGGGAATATAGATCATACAGGCCAATTCGTAAAACATTGACGATCGTGGCCTAAAGGAGCAGTTGGCCGGTGTACTAAATTCGGGTAGATGGGAGTGTGCCGGTGTTGACAGTCGGCAGATGAATATTATTTTTCGAAGTGAAACTTCTAATGCGACTTCCAACAAGGTTGTGTTACATAAACGTTTAACGCTACCATACTAGAAAGAGACAGCGAAAGTGAATGCGTAGCACACGAACGCGTGCGCGTAGTATAACTGTTACAGGCCAGTGCGAGCATTAGCAACGAGTAACGTCCAATATTTTAATGAAGCATCTAAAAAAATGGTTATTTTTCTATCCATAATTTAAACTATCTCTATATATAAAAATGAATTGCTGCTGGTTAGTCTCGCTAAAACTCGAGAAAGGCTGGACCGATTTGGCTAGTTTTGGTCTTGAATTATTTGTAGAAGTCCAAAGAAGGTTTAAAAGGTGGATAAATAGGAAAATACTCGGAAGTAAATAAAAATAACAATTTTGGTTTTCCCTTTGATGTGTCCCCCGTCGGACGGATTCCTTTTGTTTGTTTTAAGTTTATTTTATACAAAAGTTTAGATCTTTTATTTATCGGTTGAGGCACTACAAAGTCTGCCGGGTCAGCTAGTATATAATATAAATGTTGAAGATGTCGCATCTCATATACAAATTCCTTATTATAAGAGCAATCTGATTTAAGGATGAATAAAAGCGTATTAAAAATGAAGAAATCCACAATACTGTACATCGAAAAAAGAAGTTTCACTTCATTCGCGTGCACCAAGTTGCACGCGCAACGTTTTTTGACGTGAATACGTCTTTAAAATTACTTCCATAGGGACACAATCCAAAAAAACGAATGATAACAAAATCGGGGGATACAGTTTAGTGTTGTAGCTACATATCTATCATCTCCATCCAAATTTCAGTTACACCACTGGATAGCTAAAGAATCAAAGAATTTATTACGCTAAGTAAGGACTGTAACACATCGCACGCGGGGGAGGGGGCAGCCCCGCCATTTTGAAGGTAATTTTGCTGCGTATCGAGATTTCCATTTAGTATAACTTTCGACTCGGTGAAGATACGACGTTCATTCAAGTTTCAATCGTCAGCTCTCGTCAAAATCTATCGATTATATATATGTTGGTACACGTCAGGGATGGCTGAGCGGTAGTTTCGTCATCACTCGTATTCGATTGAACTCAGTTTAGTCAATAAAACTTTTCAATAATAATTATTGAAACTCAACACACACAACTTTCACAATGACAGGATAAACCGACAGTTTCGTTGCACATACCGACAGACCGACTGACTGACTGACTGACTGTCAGAGACTCACTGCTGAGACGGACGGAATCACTGTCTGACACGAATGCCACGACTCTGTCCACGTACCGCCATTTTATACTGTGGCGTTACGGAGTCTACCCTTCATTTTGTGATATTTATCAAAACAACATTTCATCATTTAAAATAATAATCAAAACCACCGTCTTAATATTACTAAAAGTCGTTATCCACGACATATATAACATTAGTGTAAAATTGTAACTGAGAATATAATAAGGTGTTAAAATAAAAAAATAATATCAAAAAATATATAATGTCGGCCTATACGCGTCGAAAAGCCAAATCGAAATACAGAAATCGTATACGGTTGGAAAGGGCATCTCAACAGCAATCGAATGGTACCAATAAAACACCATATGATCGAGTCAAGCAGTGCCGGCAACGTAAAGTAATGAATGCGGCCGAGCGGATCAACGACGGTGCCAGTACATCTGCAGCTGGGACGGTTGAAATTACGCAGATCGATGATGAAATCGCTTCTGTAATTCTGTATCGACATCGGGCTTATGACACAGATCTATAATAAATAAAGTTATAATACAGTAATTATATGTTTAGTTGATTTATTTCCTGAACCCATTAAATGAAAAAGTTGCCATCATAAACAAAACATGTATACCCGGAGGACTTCTTATGATTATGACATACATAAATAATAATATTTTATATAGAAACTATTACCCGTTACGAGACGTATTCACGTACAATAAACGGTCGTGTCCATAACACAGCCACACCCCATTTTTTTTTCTAATAACATACTTAGCAGACGTTCATATATGAGTTGAAGGAATAAAACTGCTTAGAAAAAAAAACACGTAAAAAAAGAAAAATCGGTTGTCTGTAAAGTCGGCTTACTGACGATAGTTGAACATTTAAATTTGAAATTTACTGGTGGTAGGACCTCTTGTGAGTCCGCATGGGTAGGTACCACCGCCCTGCCTATTTCTGCCGTGAAGCAGTAATGCGTTTCGGTTTGAAGGGTGGGGCAGCCGTTGTGACTATACTGAGACCTTAGAACTATATCTCAAGGTGTGTGGCGTATTTACGTTGTAGATGTCTATGGGCTCCAGTAACCAATTAACACCAGGTGGGCTGTGAGTTCGTCCACACATCTAGGCAATAAAAAAAAATAAAAAAACATGACAACGTCATAAGAAAATACTGATGGAATGGTTTCATTTTTAAATTATCGCAATTATCATTGCTATAAACAATTGACACCACATTCACTTTTCACTGAACTTCATACTTGATGAAAACATGTAAATCTATTATTGTATAGCAGCTGTCCACGCGGATACATCGCTCACTCAAGTAGGAGAGAGACAGATGTCGAACGCTGCCAAACGCGGAGGCCGATTGTGCCTCTTTGTCGCTCGTTGCGCGATCTCGCTTGCACTTCAAGCCTTAAGTGGAACGCCTCAATGAGTCATGTTTTTTCGTGCGTGCAGCCGGCTCCATCGAATTATGAGACGTCACGTCAAAAATGTAAATTGCAGTTACTTGTGGTATATGAGCTCGTGCGTTTAGGTTAGTTTAGTGTTTTCTAGTTTACCTTTTTTTTCCTACCTAAGCTGATAAGCCTTTAGAGGCTATTTCAGCGTAACCTTAACTAGTAGGTGAGCTCACGGGGCTCAATCCTGACGACGTTGCTAACACGAACCCTAACAAGAGCCGTGCTTCGCAGAATCTACCACCGGATCGGAAACGCGACCCACTAAGAAGATCCGGCGAGAAACTCAGTGGGCTGTGTCTGAGGGTTAATTTACTCGTCGAGCCCTTTGTCGCAAGCGACGGGTTCGACGAGAACGGTGACCGGTGCTTGAGGTACCTAAAAGCACCGTTAGTGGATCGGGAGGATCCAAAATGACGTGTTTGGGGCGACGTCGACTGCTTTCCATTCTTTCCACAGGATCGGAAATGTAGTTACCGGCGGCCACGATGAGAGAGTTCTCGTGTCGTGTCGCTTTATCGAAATGGCGCATCGACGCTGACTGCAAATACTTACCTACTGATGAACTCTAAGTCCAGGTCGTCATGGAGGTCGACGTTCCTGACGTACCACGGGGCTCTGACGGCAATCCTGCAAAAACGGGATTGAATTACTTGGAATGATTTTAAGTGAGTGCGGGCCGCGTGAGCGAACAATACACTTGCATAGGTCATGACGGGGCGTATGCAAGTTTTGTAGAGTGTCACCTTATTTCTAAGGGACATTTTACTTCGCCTGCATATCATCGGGTAGAGAAGCCCTAGTATGAAAGCGGCACGGTCGCGTACCGTCTTTATATGGGGCGGAATGTCATCCTTCTGTCGAAGGTGACGCCCTAGTATTTGACCTTCGGGGCCCACGGTATGAGCTGGTCGTACATCGTGATTGGGCGAATGGTGGAGGCGGAGGTGTTGACGCGCCTAGTCGGGAGAGGAGTGGGTGGACTAACTCACAGCTCACCTGGTGTTAAGTGGTTACTAGAGCCCTTAAACATCTACGACGTAAATGCGCCATCCACCTTGAGATATAAGTTCTAAGGTCTCAAGTATAGTTACAACGGCTGCCCCACCCTTCAAACCGAAACGCATTACTGCTTCACGGCAGAAACAGGCAGAGTGGTGGTACCTATCCGGGCGGACTCACAAGATGTCTCACCACCCGTAGAATTCTCTCAGGTGGAACCCGTGAGCTCGCCTACCCGTCCGGTAGGAAAAAAACCAGCGATGTAGCGTAACATAAAACCCAAGACAGCCTCGTGGGCGCAGGTCAGTGCAGTAAAATAACTTCAGTCGTTTCGCATAGTCAAATCTATACAAATAAATAAAATTGGAGTGTCTGTTTGTAATATTGAAATAACCGCTTTTTACTACATGCATATGAATATATTATATACGGTACATACACCAAAATAGCATTTTTTACTATTTTTGTCCGTGTGTCTATCTGTGTGTTTGTTCCGGCTAATCTCTGGAGCGGCTGGATCGATTTTGACGGGACTTTCACTAACAGGTAGCTGATGATATAAGGAGTAACTTAGACTACTTTTTTTAGACTAGCTTCGCCCCGCGGCGTCACCCGCGGTACGATAATAACCGCGGGTAACATCGCGGGACTCAACCATCAATAATAAAATTTTATGTTTCCGAAGCGAAGCGAGGGCGGGTCGCTAGTATATTTTATAATAAAAGAATTGAAACAGAGGTGTCAACGCAACAATTCTGTAAGCGTCTTTTGTAGAAACAGTGTTGTAGAAAAGGATTTGTGTTTTTTATAATAAAACTAATAATGCCAGCCGCCGCCTTGCCGTACATAGTCGACTCTAGCTGCGTCATCAATAAAATCGCTACGTGTGACTACTGGAGAACTCGAAGCTGCTTGCGTTGTCAAAATCAATCGAACAATTATTAAGAAATTAGTTTTATATAACAACGTAATTGGAAAACGTTTACTGCACAATATTATTTTGTTTTAAATCCACGTGTTTTAAGTTCGGAAGGTAAGAATTGTTATTCTATAAAGCAGTTCATCTTCTTAGTTAATTAAACATATAATTGCATCACCACCATTGAGGCCGTCAGCGCAAAAGTGGCCTAAAGTTATTATGGAGCAATGAGGCTTAAGTTGTCATGAAGGTATAATTTTTCATGAATTTGAATTTGAATAGGCAAAAAAACAATACGCGCAAAAATAATGTTTACAAAACCATCTGTTATCTATGGGTGAAACTATGGATAGGCCGATTTTGCATCAAAATATAATTTTAAATAAATTGCAATGTAAATAATATAAGCATGATTAGGAAAAATTGAGGATTAGGCCACTTTTACGCTGACGACCTCAATTCATCTTTTAGATATGTATTTTAATATTCTAATTTTAATTATTATTATGTATTTTTATTTCAGTAAATAAACCATAGCATTTTATTAGTAAAATATTACTTACCAGTAAACTCACAATTATAAAAAAGCTACCCTATAAACGATATTTGACGTTGTTTTATTTTTTTTAAAGAAATGAACATTATTGTGGCTTAGTTATAATAGTCAGACATATGCTGTCGCCACATTTTTTGTAAATAATAATGTGTTCTACAAAGTTATAGTACATTATTTTACTCTATCATCAATAGTTTTCGCAGCGCACGCGATGTAAAGAATATTTTAGGAATTTTTTTTAAACCTTGGGTTACATTATTGGAGTTATAGTAAGGATCCCTAATATTTTTCAAAAAATAGTATAGCCTATGTCATTCAGGGATAGTGTAGTTTCCAAACAGTAAAATAATTTTTCAGATCGGTTCAGTAGTTTCGGAGCCTATTCAATACAGACAAACAAACAAATCTTTCCTCTTTATATGAGTATAGAAGTATAGATAATCTATGTTAGTAACATATAAACCGAACACACAACTATATGACTATTTAGTACATTTTTTTTCCAAGTGCCTACTGCAAAGGCTATTTAATTAGCAATCCCTGGATTTTGCTCGATATGATTTAATATTTGATTGTTTTTTTTGGTTCAGTGTTCAATTTCTACTCGTTAAGTCCAGAATATTGATGGTTGTTATAAAATACTGGATACGTCGTATCACATTTTATACCACTGTTATACAGAAAATCTAAATTTTAATCAAAATTTCCATCTAATGCCGCATTGAATAAAATCTTTATACATACTTTCTATTCATTGCTGTCCAAACGAAAAAGTCAAAGAAAATAATTGGGACGTATATTATTTATTACTATTTTATGTTTATGTATGTGTTTATAATAATATGTATATGTATGTGTATATGTATATTATGTGTTACTTATTATATATATATATATATTACTCTCGAGAGGCATATCTTGAAATATATTGAATTTAACACTTTATCCATTTTACGTATTACAGAGATGAAACTCAGAATCCTAACCATTATTCTTCTACCAATAATTGAGGCTAAAATAGCGATTGAGATAATGATGACAAAAAGTGACAATCAAATACAAATATCCGGATGTAATTCTGACGTTATAAGCGATACAGAAACACTTACATTTAACTTGACCGATGCTAATCTTAAAAACGCTGTGGAAAAATTATTCGGTAGAAAACCTGACGATGTATTTCTCAAAAGCCCTACACCCTGGGGAGATCTGTACGAGACATACTCTTGGGAGGAAGTTGAGAGACATTTCCGGCCGCAACGCGCCATTAAAAACATAATTAAAAACAAAATGGTTGTACTGTCGCAACAATTTTACAATAACCAAGGTAATTCAACAGTTTTCTCAGTGAAAATTGAGGATAAAATCGAGAACAATGTTGCTTCAAAATGGACGAAAGCTCAAGAATTAACAGTGAACGACTATATCACTTATGACATTAAGCTTGACGATTTTCCGAGAATCTTATTCATAGCGAATTACAATCAAAACGCAAAGAAATACGAAATAGTAAAAATCGATGCCAACATTGATGTGCATTTAGAACCAAACCAACATATTAAGGCGGAGTTGGCGGCAAACATAACAACAGTTGAGGTTATAATTGATTACGAGGCACACTTGACAGGTTTGACAGCTGTCAACTACGTCAGAAAATACGACAATCATCATTTTTGGGGTTTAGACATTAACACCGTAATGGCGGCAGGTAGATTGAAACCAACAGTGAAAGTTATGGAAGAGATTACGATAGAATATTATTCGGATGCGAACATTATAATCACAGATCAGAACACTAGTGATGTATTAAATACGTACTCCGTCAACTTTTTGTATTAAATAGTAAAAGTAAATATATTCCTTATTAAATTCATGTTATTTTAATTAGATCATAAAGTTTTAACATAAATCCCTATATATTGTAAGTAATTACATACAAGAAATAAGCGGTAGGCTAACGCCAAGCTGCTGCCCCTCTTATCATATCTGTAGGGGCACAGTTTGTTATGTGAGCAAAATTGTTCGTAGTCATAACATGCGGCTGCGCCCGCAAGCTCTATTCCTTTTTACTTTTTAAGTTCAGTCGCAAATAAACGCTCCGATTAACCAGTTGTGTTACTTAATTATCTCACTTCCGATAACGCCCTGAACCATTATTGACCACTACCAAAATAACTCCTAAATATCCTATCGGACCCTCCCGATCCACTCTCGGTGCTATTAGGCTTTTTAGACACCGATCACCGTCAATTTACTGGTGGTAGGTCCAATCCGGTGGTAAATTGAGCGAAGGATTAGGACTTGTATTAGTAACTCCTCTCAGATTGAGCCACCTGAGCTCACCTACCGGTTCGCGCGTAGTTAGAATACCCCCCTAATGATAATGTAGGGAAAATAAATAAATTAAAAGGATATCTAATATTAAAGCTACTAATTAGTCTCCTCCTCCTCGCGTCGTTTCCTCACTGCTGAGGGTCGTGACCATTATATGTCGTCAGGATTTTGCTCCTAGTAATGTCCCGCCAGCGCCTCCGATCATTGGTCGCATGAAGGGCGTCATGGAATGGGATCTCGAGCGTGGTGCGGATTTGGTCGAACCACCTTGTCGGACTGCGCCCGCGCGGTCTTTTCTCTCGATCTTCCCTGTCACGAATAGTCTCTCTAAGCTATCCGGTGTTTTCCGAGCAATAGGACAGAAGTACTCGAGTGCGCGGCGAAGGTAGAGTGTGGACAGTCTAGTCTTGATCTGTAGTTGGTCTAAAATAGACAGATTGCTTCTCTTCGCTGTCCAAGGTATCCGGAGCATTCTTCTATGAATCTTCTACTAATTAGTATGGTATTCCATTTTTTCACCAACGTCGATAGCTTGATATTCTCACGACCAGTCTCAGTGCTAACAAGAGGCCAATAAAGACCAAATCGTAAACCGCAAACCGTGGGTGTGATCTCTTCGCAGGACAAAGCCAAGTCCTTCCATCGCATCGTCGGTACAGGTGTGGTTGTGCCCTAAGCCGACATCCAAAATGTGGCTCTAAAATTGTATAGAATCTATAAGATTTCAGCATGCTTTTATTAGCTTGTTGTGGGTATGTTTGCATATGTAGGGTCACACACACATGCTTAATAACGTACGTGGCGTGTTACCTGGCTACGTAATGCAAGGTGTCATCTTCACCATTCCACGCTTGTGGGAAAAGGATATTGGGACGACAGTCCAGTTGTAACGGTCATACAGCGAACAGAGTTCCACTTAGATAGCTATAATATAACTGTATGTACCTATTGTATTTTCCGTAAATATACAAGAGTGTGAGTTAATAACGACTTTCATTTACAACAAGTGGGCTCATCCCAAACATGTACGTAGCGGAATCTCTGAATGTAATTCTCACAGACTTCAAGGTGTCCGCTTAACTTGATTGTACACGCATCAAGGACCGATGATTATTGATACAATAATTATATAATTTCTCTCTAATATCCTACTCAGTATCTCTAATATCTAAATCAGGATAAAAAACATTGAATTAATTACAGGGTTGGGTTCAGTATTGTTACGCGCAGTATTATTCGGGATGAATAAATGTTCCAGCAAAGTACAACTAAAAACTGTATTCAACACTTAGAACACTCAACAAACACTTTTAAACTCTCAATTTGCATCTTCCGCTTCGCTTCCACATACCACATTCCTAGAATTATCCAGAATACTCCACACAAGTCGAGTATTGTGTTTCCGCTATCTGACGATATATGGCGTTACTCCGGTGTAACAGTATGTGTTCTTTGTTTGTTTGTTTTTAAACTGCATTGAATATTTATTTCTTCTATCCAGTGATGGATGATGGAGTAAAAGAACATTAACAGTCGTTGAGATAATTGTGTTATGCCGATAAGAGTAACGCCATCTATCGCCGAATAGTCGAAAAAATATCGAAGGATCCAGAATGCTCGAGAATTACAACGCCATCTATTGTCAGATAGCGGAAACGACTACTAGAGATGTGTAGAATATTCTCGATAATTCTAGGGATGTCGTATCGACTATAAAAGTGTTGTAGAGATGGCACGCAGTCAGTCAGTAATCGGAACTACTCGAAGCGAAACAGCGAGAGGATCACCTGAAGCGAAGCGGAACAAGCGAATTGAGAGTTTGTCGAGTGTTATAAAGTGTTTGTGAAGTTTTTAAGTGTTCTAAGTGTTGAATACAGTTTTAAGTTGTACTTTGGTGAAATTTTATTTATCCCGAACCCCAGCACGTAACAATTGTTTACGTCCTTTGAACGTCTATAAAGGTATCAACATCAATTAGTAAAACGTCGAGATGATTAGCACAAAAGCATAATTACAGGATATTTGCAATTAAAACTGTTCTCCCTCTATTCTCAACGCAGTTTCATGCCATATTGCTTGGCTCGATCGATCAAAACTGTTGTTTGTGGCTTTAGTCCTTTCTGTTGGTAGCTTTTTATTTGAACGAAGTTCCTTACGGCAGGCTTGGAGAGGATAGGGATTTTGCTGCGCGACCGAACTGAAAAAAATGTGATAGTAAAACCGTAAGAAAAAATCCGTGGAAAAAATCCGTGGAAAAAAGTGCGTGGAATAAAACCGTTAAATGAGACGTGCGCAGGCGCGACAGTCGCATACACAAGCGAGTAGTGTATAATACCTTTCTCTTTCTCCCTCTTTCTTTTCGTTCTCTCATCCATTCTCTTTCTATTTTACGTAATTTATTATTTCCTAAAATACTGAATTTCCTAAATACTTTCCTATACTTAAATAAAAACTAATCAGCAAAATTTAAGAGAAAAATCAAGAAAACCTACATAAAATTGAGCACGATTTTTTTTTGCAAATTGTGTCGATTGTACATTAGCCGAAGGAACTTCGTTCCTACCTGGTGTCCCACGACACCACATCTTTTTATTTTAACCACAAGTCTTATGCGAACCCTTTGAATAACAAGCTATGTATTACAGAGATTTTGTGTGCTAATGTGATATTGTGGTAGGTATCCAAATGGTATCGAAATAATTGGTTGGTTTTAAATTATATCAGGCATAAAGTATGGGTAGCCGATTTGAATACGTATTTTTTAATTAATTGTGATTAATTTGAAACAAAAACGAAATAGAGTGCTTGAATTTTAATATTAGTGTTCGTCCAATGGCAACAAAATTTTTGAGACAATTTCTGTCGGTGGGTACTAAAAATACTGGGTTGACAAACAAAAAAGGTATTGAACTGTTTTTTCATTGCCTATTTTTATTTCTTTGATAACCATTTGCTTTAATAATGACTATAGTATACGTGAGTTAAAGTAAAAATTTAATAAATATTTCAGAATAACAATGAAGTGGATCTTGATAGTAACGTTCCTAGAATCGATATCAGCTAGTATCGATATCGAAATTTCCGCTGAACTCGATACTAACAACACGAAATCAAATCACAAAGGCGAATTATCAAATAGAACTACAAGTTTTGAGTTATTTGGGCTAAGCGACGACAAGTTAAAAAGCTGCTTAAAAACCTACATGGGAAGAGTTCCGGATAAGATATTTTTTAATAACTCAAATCCCTGGGATTTATATCGAAAGTACGGCTGGAATGAAATCGTAAAAGTCGTGGTACCTAAATACGTTGACGTAATAAAAATAACAAAGCAACGTAAAAGTTTGAAGGAACGTTTTTATTATAACACGAATGTAAACAAAGTGAATTTCAGTGTTTCAATTTGCGAAAAAGTAGAGAACTCCTTTCGTGTGTCGTGGAATGGTCCGGTGGGCATCGAAGGAATTATCAACTATGGTATGTCAGCACTATATCAAATATAGTAGGACTTTTTGGCGGGTACGCGAGAAGTGAAGTTGTGTGATTTGTTTTATTTTGTCTATTTAGTGTTTCTTCAGGTTTAAATGTGTATAAACGGTGGTTTATTAACTGTTTAATGTCTGTGAAAGTGCACAAATGTGGGGAAAATTAAACAAAGCCGCTTAACGTAACTTCTCGGGATCCTCCAAAAAGGCCACTGAAAAAATCGCAATAAATGACCACCATTTTAGTGAGATTATATTTCATCCCATGACATCTCATCTCATTTCATTTCACTCCATATTACCATTTTTCATAAAAATAAGAATATAAATTAAAATAAGACATGACTTAAAGGTCCTAGTTACCAAGTCATAAAATCCCAAAAAAAAATAAAAAAAATGCTGATATAGATAATATAGAATTCCATTTTCCCAATTGGACAGGCGAAGGTATCTATACAGCCTAATCTTTTGTATATTCTGTTCTATGAAAAAACGATTTGGAAGATCACAACTGTCTCACTCATCTCCGAAGCCTAGCTCCAAACGGCGCATAATTCGATAGTTTTCCCTCAAACAATTCAAACTACAATCGCTTTCAGATATAAGACTCGCAACGCAAAATCGGGCATCCTCATTCAAGTTCAACGCGAGTTTTGGTCAAGACTCGCAATTCACGGTACCGATCACGCTGGGTCACGGGTTCTGTGCGAACGTCACCCTAGTCCCTGGGCAGCTGGCGCGGGCAGAACTGACCGTGGACATCACCACAGTCGGAATACAGGTATTCACAAAACTTATGGGGGGTTTTAATTTTATCATCATCATCATTCTTTCCTATTACCCGTATCGGGAATGACATTAAGGCTTGTACGTCTTCAAATCCGAGCTTCCGGCGGCTGTATGTGGATTTTTGTTTCAGATAGCATACGAAGCTTATCTGTCTGGCGTTGTGGCTTTGGCTTACGACCGTCCGCATAACGGCCATCATTTTTGGGCGCCGAACATAGACCACGTTCTGTACACTTGCGGCCAGAAAAACGGCGTCACCTCCAAGCAATATATAAACATTAGTTATTACGACAACGCGAATCTTGTGTTCTTAGATTTGAATAGCGGTATTACGGTGGACGCATTTCGTGTGCCGGCGTCTGAATAATAATAATAAATTGTGCACGTGAAAGAATTGAAACTTCTTTTTCGGTTGCAGTTGTTGTTTTCTTCATTTTTCATCCTTAAATTAAATTTCTCTTGTAATAGGGAATGCTGTGTATAAGAGAAACGACCTAGCTCGCTTTGTCCTTTCCCTCCACAGTCGAGTGGTTAGCCAGACGCTGTCTTTTTTCTCACTCTCGCTCGTCCTAAATTGTATCTTTTCTCTCTAGCCGTAACGAATATGTCGAGAATTAAATTTTACTCTCAATGCTCCTAAAGAAGTTTCATTACAAAAATAGCTGGATTCTTTGTTATAGGTACCAGAGACTGACGTACATACTTATATACGTTTGAATACATACATATATAGATGATAAACAGCCAGACAAAGAGCAAACAAACCTGTACGTCACGCGAATGTTTGCCCGATGTGGGAATTTAACACACGACCAACCGACTCAATAGTTAGAGGGTAAATTTATTAAATTTTTTTTCTATTTTTTAGTTGGATTTTGTATAAAACCTTTTTTGTTAGTTTCTTTAAACTATTTTTATTTTTTAGTTGAATTTCAATTTTTCCAATTTTTTTTTTAATATTGAATTGTCATCGGTCCTTAATAAGTGTACCAAATTTCGAGTTAATCCGACGTTTTAAAGGGGGTCAAAATCATGTTCAAAGATTCCGTTACAAACATACATACGTCAGAAGCTAATTAAAGCGTATTAAAAAGGAGATTATTTTTCTGAATGAAATATGTCAACTATGCCTGTATGTATTTTTTATCTACATAAAAAATAAGCAGTAAAATTTCGGCTATTCCCATATATTGTGTGTTCATAGTGTATAATGTCATTTGCCAAATAATTTTAAATAAAAATCTCGTTATCGTGTTGTAGAAGTCTCGTGTTTTAAGAGGGTTTTGGATAATTTTTCAACGACTCCATGTCCAAAAAAAAAGAAGCGAGGGGTATGGAGAAAGATATGGAGACTATCTCTTAAAGAGCCTATTTTCAATTAAAAAAATCGTATAATTTATTATGAACTATACTTAAAATAAACTCATCACCAATGTTTGTAATTATAAATACGATATTGGAAATAAATGGTTTTTTCGTAATTTACATTTGTATTTTTATTAAAAATCTGTAATAACAGATTTCGCCGAGACTAGATTACTGGTGGCCCGGAGGCTTAAAGTGAAACTTTCATTACATCGTCTCAAACTTTTTCGTCAGCGTGTTGCATGTCGCGTGACGGTCGTCCGCGGAGTAGGGATAAAGTGAGAGGCGCTCGTCAGAGCAGCCAAGGCCAATATGGCGGCGCCTATAGTTCGCAGCAGCTGACCGTCTAGTGTATAGACTATTACTCATTTGTGTCAGTGCTCCACGCTATTACTGGTGGTAAGACCTCTTGTCAGTCCGCACGGATAGGTACCACCACCCTGCCTATTTCTGCCGTGACGCAGTAATGCGTTTCGGTTTGAAGGGTGGGGCAGCCGTTGTAACTGTACTGAGACCTTAGAACTTATATCTCAAGGTATGTGGCGCATTTACGTTGTAGATGTCTATGGGCTCCAGTAACCACTTAACACCAGGTGGGCTGTGAGCTCGTCCACCCATATAAGCATAAAGAAAAAAAACACACACACACAATCCTTTTTTCTAGTTTTACTAGGACAGGTGGGCGAGCAAGGGTTTAGCCAGGAGGGGTGGGATTTGCTAACAGCTGCCCGAGCGCCTCCGAAGGAGACCTAACAAATCGAGAGTAGCTGGACGGCGCGTGGTTCATCCTTGCATTAAGTAAACAGTTGATCACCGCACACAAAAACGACACACCATTTATTTTAAATATATTTATTTAAAACGAAATAAAAGTATGTATGTACCTACTTACTTACATTTTATAATTTAATAGTAAAATTATTAATTACATTTAATATTTTTTATTTTTTTTACGTTACAATAAAAATAATTAATAAACTATTTACAGATATAGAAGAGACATTGATTGACAAAAATTCTGAAAAATAATAACACGATATTTATGAATGAAAATGTTAATGAAATTCAATTTGAATGACATTTCAAATAATATTCATGGGTACGTCTTGATGTTAGAGGCAAAAGGTTTCACGATCTTTTTAATTCAAACTAGAGGTCCCGCAGTAGTCGAAATTCGACTATAATCTATATATTAATACGTGAAGCAAAAACTTTGCATCCCTTTTTACGTAAATTGCGCGGACGGAGGAGTATAAAAATTTCCACACTTATAGAGAATATAGAGAATAAGTGAACAATGCTAATATTTTTTTTAAATAACACATAAAAGATACATTAAATCAATAAAGAAAACATTACACACACTACATACCATGTTTTGACGCACACACGCATGCATACTATTTATTGTCAAACTTTTGTTCTTGACGTTTGTGGTCAAATTGAGAATAGATTAAATATTGTTTGTCTTTATTAATATATTTTTATTTAATTATAATTATTATATTAAGACTATAATTATATTTATTTAATTATAATTATAGTCGAATTTCGACTACTGCGGGACCTCTAGTTAAATGGAATTGTAAGTTTGTACACTATTATGATTGTATTTTATAATTCTATGATCACAAATTTCACCAAGGCTACACTATAAAAAAATATTAACAAAGACAAACAATATTTAATCTATTCTCAATTTGACAACAGACGTCAAGAACAAAAGTTTAACAATAAATAGTATGCATGCGTGTGTGCGTCAAACACATGGTATGTAGTGTGTGTAATGTTTTCTTTATTGATTTAATGTATCTTTTATGCATTATTTTAAAAAAATATTAGCATTGTGCACTTCTTCTCTATATTCTCTATAAGTGTGGAAAATTTCATACTCCTCCGTCCGCGCAATTTACGTAAAAAGGGATACAAAGTTTTGCTTCACGTATTAATATATAGATTACATATCGAGGGACTATTTGGTTTAAGCGACATTTTTGAAATTTTACATGAGAGCCATATAAAGTTTAAAATTTGGAAAAAATATCATAACAAAAAAACTTTTCCATCTATTCGAATGGGGTAAACTTCATTGAAGTTCAATTAATTACGCACCTTTAATTACAATAATAAATGTCGCGTATTAACGCCAAGATTACTTATGTTGGGTTAAAAAGTAATAAACAGTTAATTGACCTACCAGATTGTAATCTAGAAATAACAAAACCATACAAATATTTAGACTGTTTCATACGCAACGGACCTTTTGCTTCTAACGTCGAAATATATAATGAAGGTCTATCAAATCCTCATACAGTTATCTCGAGAGTTTAAACAACAACAAAAAAAAATGCTTTATATAAAATTGTTGCATAACACCATCCTTAAAATTTTCTTTATCACGTTGACCCTCGTCGCAAGCCTCTCGATATTCTTGTCGAAATCGATGAGATCTCGTGACGGCGCTATCGTATCGGTCCACGGTCATCAGTCATGACACCCTTAATTGATGATGACAAAGCTACCAGTTGCATACTTGGAGGGGGGTCACACTAGAACCGTTCTTTATTTTTTTAATTTTTTTATTGCTCATATATGTGGACGAGCTCACAGCCCACCCGATGTTAAGTGGTTACCGGAGCCCATAGACATCTACAACGTAAACGCCGCCACCCACCTTGAGATATGAGTTCTAAGGTGCCAGTATAATTAAAACGGCTGCCCCGCCCGTCAAACCGAAACGCATTACTGCTTCACGGCTGAAATAGGCAGGATGGTGGTACCTACTCCGGACTCACAAGAGGTCCTACCACCAAGTTTGTTCCGTATCACCTGTCGCGTGCTGTGGAGAACGGATCGCGCGAGTGGTGGCGCGGTCACGCGTGGTGGTACTGTAGGTGTGCGAGGGGGTGGTCGTANGTATCACCTGTCGCGTGCTGTGGAGAACGGATCGCGCGAGTGGTGGCGCGGTCACGCGTGGTGGTACTGTAGGTGTGCGAGGGGGTGGTCGTAGAGGGGGTACAACGGCTGCGGGGGCGGGAGGGGCGCGGGGGGTGCGTCGCTGTCATCATCCGTAGACGAGTCCAGCTGCTTATCGCCTCCGGTGCCGCTGGAAAACAAAAATGTCAGATTTTAATCACAGATATGTTTGAGCTTTTTTTCGGGCCGGGGTACCCCCTACGAGGTCCCGGCGCTTAGGAGGCGCGCTGGTATATGGTACTTGAGAATCTGCAGATGTTGGGAGCAGACCGCGGGCCCAAGGAATTTTAGGACCCTACCGTACCAAATGAATCCCCTGCACTCTTACACCAGACATCCGATCTCTGTTCGGAGTCAGAGCCCGGTCAGAGTAGAGAAGTTCCCGCGGTCAACACTACAACTATTGAACTGGATTAACACCTCTCCAGGTCGGGTATGCTCATCTTCAAACGAAGTTAAGATCGACTCCATGAATAGACTGATAGGCAGAAGCTTGGTTATGCTCCTCGCACTGCAAGCCGCTTGCAATGAGTGATCCGGTGTGATTAGTTATGGTACTTTGAACTTGCAAGAATATCACCATCATGTTTATTTTTAACACAATAATAAGTTCCCGATGGAAAGGACAGGTGGTCATATTGCAATACTCTCAGATCTTTCAAGTCTCAACGTAAGTCTTTAGAGGTGACCTCTTAACTCCAGATGGACTGATATTAATCACGTAGCCTCACGAAAATTATATATTGCGCTGCATTATGACGCTTTTCTACAGTCTTATTGTTCACTAAAATACAGTGTGCTTAGTGAGAGTTTTTTAACGTTCTCGATAGCGTAAAAGTTAACTCATATTTGTATGGAATGGGATCGTTTGTCTACGTTTGCCGTTAGGGGCGCTGTTCCAACTGCATACAAAATTGGGTTAACTTTTACGCTATCGAGAACGTTAAAAAGCTCGCACTAGGCACACTGAGCGCTGTAAGAACCGGTCATCGATCTCGTCGACCCGTCGCTTACGAAGAAGGGCTCGACGAGTAAATTAACTCACAGACACAGCCCACTGACTTTCTCGCCGGATCTTCTCAGTGAGTCGCGTTTCCGATCCGGTGGTAGATTCTGCGAAGCACTGCTCTTGCTAGGGTTCGTGTTAGCAACGTCGTCAGGTTTGAGCCCCGTGAGCTCACCTACTAGTTAAGGTTACGCTGAAATAGTCTCTCAAGGTTCTCAGCTTGGGTAGTTTAAAAAAAAAAAAGCTGTAAGAATATCTAAGCAACGCGCTCCGGTCGGAAGTTCTCATAAAAAAATACCCTTAAAGACCTCACAATAGCCGCAGGTCGCCTCAAGCGGTGCGCGTGAACAACCTGACGTGATCGCTCTGACAGCTTCGTAACGTGAAACCATTAACTGAACTACAAAAGCGTTTTTAATTTGTAATATTTCTTTTGAAGTGGTTGTTTTTTTGGGACGGCCATATTGATTTGGGCCCGGCAACCTTTAAAGCTTCATTGGGATGAGCAGAGGATTTACGACCGCCAAAAAGTCTTCGAAGGAGCCTTGACTGATGAAGAGATGCTGGTCGAATGTATCTACTATTGGCCCGCTGAGGACTAATAACCATCAATAACCATCAACATAACTCAGCGGGCTGTTGCTATTGGCTAGATGTCGCGTCATGAGTACGATCACTTGAGCTATGCCTCTACAGCTTTAGATTTACTAGCGTCTAATAGCGCTGAGTGAGGATCAAGTGCATCCATAAGGACTGGACTATGGTTGCGTAGGATTAGAGCCGCGACTGCATAGAATTTAAAATCAGAAAGGCCTAAGATGCATTAGCGAAGTTGCAGGGGAACCTTTCGTGTGTTAAAATCCAAAATTAATTGCTTGATTACTGAAGATGTTATCAAGAAACCGTATGGGTAGGTCCATTGTCTGTTTACGCCGTGGGGTGGGTTATGCTTTGATATATCGGCGCCTACAGAGCAGGGCAATCGTAGAGACTACGCTAACTACGTACTAAGTTCTAGGTTTTAGAGTTATACTCCTAAGATTTATGTAGTGTAGCCAAGTACTGCGCGAAAACTGGCACAATAACAGAACAGAAGATAAAGTGATTCTTCTGCATGACAAGATTCGGTCTCATGTCGCCAAATCCGTTAAAACTTAGTTGAAAAGAATGATGTAGATTTTCCTACGGCACTAACCATATTCCTCGGACATTACGCTATCCGATTCTTATCAGTGGGCTTAGTGCGAATTGTTTATCGTTCTCGATAGCGTGAACGTTAACTCAAATTCGTATGGAGTTGGAACTCAACTGGTTCAACTGCATACAAATTTGATTTAGCTTTTACGCCATCGAGAACGTTAAGAAACTCGCACTAAGCACACGGTTCCTTTTGATGTCACATCTAACTAATTATAAGCTAATTAATTATAATTATTCGACAACTACCGTAACCGGAAAGATTGGATTTTTTATGGCTAGTGATGGACAATACTTCGAACGATTTATTCGTAAGCTTAATTCTTCACAATAAAGTTACATTTTGAACGAAAACACAGCGGGGACTTGGTCGCGGACCTTAATATTAACAATATTCTCGAGTATTCCTCAATATTACCACGTGGTCTGTCCAGCATCCACGAGTTCTCAGCCGACAACATGACATCTACAAGGGGTGACGTTTTGACGTATATAGGTAATCCGATATTTTTTAGTGCCTTTGCATTTTCGGGTGGGACGATTCAAGATGCGGGTAGCTTGCGATAAAAAGTTTGAGGATAAGCGGTATTTTTATATGGAGTGTTTTTATTTTATTTTTCATTATTGCCTTAATGGATGGACAAGCTCACAGCCCAGCTGGTGTTAAGCGGTTACTGGAGCCCATAGATATCTACAACGTAAATGCCGCCACCCACCTTGAGATATAAGTTCTAAGGTCTCAGTATAGTTACAACAGCTACCCCACTCTTCAAACCGAAACGCATTACTGCTTCGCGGCAGAAATAGGCGGGGTGGTGGTACATACCCGTGCGGAATCACAAGAGGTCCTACCACCAGTAATTAAGCAAATTATAATTTTGCGGGTTTGATTTTTATTACCCGATATTATTCCTTCACCGTGGAAGTCAATCGTGAACATTTATTAAGTACGTATTTCATTAGAAAAATTAGTACCCGCCTGCGGGATTTGAAGACCGTTGCATCGCTAGATACGAATGCACCGGACGTCTTATCCTGTAGGCCGCGACGACTATAGGACGAAGTAGGACGAAATCCATTGAACAGATACTGGAATAGCTTTATTAAGGACTTTAATCCATGGTCACTTAGCGAAAGAAGGATACTCAATGAAGTTGCACAGTGGCTATTACTAGCAGAGGTTTTATAATTGATATTGTTATTACTAACAAGTGACGTCACAACGTGAATACCTTGAGACTTGAGGTCGAAGCATATATTGTTTAATGATGTCCTCGCGTTTCATATCAGACTCGTCTCATCAAGACGAAAGAATAATATGGTTTAATAATGGATAGTGAAACCTCACGAATATATTTCGCCATTCCCTGATGTTCCTCACCCAGGACTTTTTGCGTGTTCCGACATGTCTTTTGATTTCGATTTAGACTTTCAAATTCAAATTCAAAATCATTTATTTCAACTTAGATGTCAGCATAACACACTTGTTGAACGTCAAAATATAAATAAAAATGTTAACTCTACCACCGGTTCCAAAAAGAGCCACAGTCCTGAGAAGAACCGGCGAAACAAACTCAGCGGGTTTTTTTTTTCTCAATTTTTTTTTTTTAAATAGTTAAAAATATTTACAATAAACAAAAAAAAAAGGGAAAAAATACAATTACAAAATAGCTCCTCCCTACCTCTATAGTATTATAGGCCTTAGTAACCAATTATAAATCAAAGGTTGAAAGGTTAGTCGATTTAGACGACATTTTTGCAACTTTACAAGAGAGCCATTTAAAGTTAAAAAAAAGTTGAAAAAATTACATAACAAAAAAAACATCTTCAGCTATTTGGATGGAGTAAACTTAATCGAAGTTCAATTAAAAATATCGAACTGTTGATGCTGATACCAAACAAAACGGACCTTTAATTACAAAGATAAATGTCCGTATTAAGAGAAATGCCTCCTAAACCAATGACCAATCAGTACCATTAGAAAATATACTAATACCCAAAACAAAATCAAGTAACGTCCTCAAGTATCACTACATAGTATAAGACAAAGTCGCTTTCTCTGTCCCTATAATCCCTATGTATGCTTAAATCTTTAAAACTACGCAACGGATTTTGATGCGGTTTTTTTTAATAGATAGAGTGATTGGAGAGGAAGGTTTATATGTATAATAACATCCATTAAATAGTGGAGAAATCAATAATAAATCACAGTTTCCGAAGCGAAGCGAGGGCGGGTCGCTAATACCAAATAAAACGCACCTTTCATTACAAAGATAAATGTCGCGTGTTAAGTGAAATGTCACTTAAACCAATCAATACTAATAGAAAATATACTAATACCAAACCAAAGCCAAGTAACGTCCTCAAGTATGGATCCATTATTTTTCCACTCAGTCGGCAATGAACCCACATAGTAAGTCAGTCGACCGTGTATTTTCGCTTCATTGAACAAAAAACAAGATTAAAAGTTTTTATTTTTATTTTCTTTTTCTTTTTCTTTTAAACAGTAGACTTAGTATAATTGAGTCATCCGACTAGTCGAATTGAATACAATTAGTGCAGTGCGGACGGAATTATCTGACAAAATATTTATTACTGGTGGTAGGACCTCTTGTGAGCCCGCGCGGGTAGATACCACCACCCCGCGAATTTCTGCCGTGAAGCAGTAATGCGTTTCGGCTTGAAGGGTGGGGCAACTGTTATATACTTGAGACCTTAGAGCTTATATCTCAAGTTGGGTGGCGCATTTACGTTGTAGATGTCTATGGACTCCAGTAACCACTTAATACCAGGTGGGCTGTGAGCTTGTCCCCCATCTAAGCAGTAAAAAAAAAAGATTTATGTCTTAAGCTAGAGGGCGCTATTAACGTCCTCTTAAATCTATTCGCTCCGGTACCCACTTAACACTAGTCAGGCCGGGAGCTCGTTCACCCGTCTAAGCTTAAAGCTTTTCGGCCACGTCCAGTCACGTTTCGCATGTTGAAAGCTCCGAGTTACACGGTAAAATAATAATTTTTTATCCACCGATGAGCGAGTGGCGTCTACCATTGCTTTTAGGACGCAGATGTGCGGGTTTCATGTTACATTATGTCTGTCTCGTTTTAACTTGCAGATATCTGTCTCTTTCGCGCTCAAACTCGATTTTAGATATAGATATTTTGTTGTTGTTTTTTTTTTTTGTGTACGACTCAGCTGATGATAACGATGTTTCGAGATTTAAATCGATGTGTTTTGGCGGAAGGATTTTTGACAGAAACTACCAACTATCAATATTAATTTATAGTAAACGTGAAAGGGTGTTTGTTTGTTGGTCTTTCGTTCACATCGAAACGAAGCAATGGAATGAAATGTTTTTTTTAATGATAGTATAAGAAGAGTGACATAGGCCACCTTTTAACTCGAAAAAATATGTAATTCCCACGAGAAACTACACTGACTGTTTCCTTACCACGCGGGCGAAACCACGAGTCGCACCTAGTTTTAATTCTTTTTTTTTTTAGGAATGAAGGATTACTGGTGGCACAGTGGCTTTCCTGTTTCATCAGGACGAAGCTAGAAGGGGACGGGATTTGCTAACAGCTACGCAAGGTCTCCCAGAGGAGACCTAACAACTCAAGGGCAACTGCTTCGCGAGTGAATCTAGTACAGGATCGAAATTGCGACCCGCTGAGAAGATCAGGCGAGAAACTCAGCGGGCTGATGAATGGGTTAGGTTGCACGTCGAACTCTTTGTCGAGTTCGACTAGTAAGTACTACTATAGTGAAGAGATGATTTTAAATAGCGTAAAAAAAAAACAACAGAACGACAACAAAAATCAACATTGTTTTAATTTTGGTGTTGATGCAATATTTTTAAAGCTATTTAAAATATATATGAACATTCTGAGTGATAAAGGTCTATTTCGTTTGTACATAAATGTATTTCAGATTAGTAGTACCTACTGTTTAGCCGATCGCTAGAAATGCGAATGTGAACAATATTACGCACTCTTTAAAGGCGATTCTCCCTTGCGTTTTCCAGTACCTGTAAATGCTGCTTCATCGCGAACAACTCGTTTTGACATTTACGTTCGGTCCAATAAAGATTAATTTAGCGTGTACAGGGAATACGTACACAAAGTATCACGTTACACGAAGCCAGCGAAATGGTTATAGACAATACCCTCCCCTGTTTGTGTTATCTGTGCTTTGTCTATGGTTGCCAGGTGTTCGAAATGCCGCGACAAGGTTTTATTATTTTTGTTACGTAATGCAACTGAGCATCGCACCGACAATACGATCCTAAAGGAACTTAACAGCTCTCAATGGCTGTTCCGGGATTCTTCGATATTTTGGACACGTAACGCGACGGCCAGTAGAGTCTATCAAGAAACCTGTTGTTCTGGGTAGGGTCAATGGTAAAAGACCTCGTGGACGAAGCCCCATGCGCTGGACTGTTCAAGTGAAAATCCTTACCAAAACCTCTATTTTTCCTACCTATGCTTAAGAGGCTATTTCAGCTTCTCCTTGACGTGTAGGTGAGCTCATGGGGCTCAAACCGGGTGTGTTGCTAGCACTGGCCACCGGATACCACCGGATTGGAAACATGACCCACTGAGAAGATCCGGCGAGAAATTCAGTGGGATGTGTCTGTGGGTTAATTCACTCGTCGAGCCCTTCGTCGCAAGCGACGGGTTCGTCGAGGACGGTGACCGGCGCTTGTGGTACCTAAAAGCACCGTTAATGGATCGGGAGGATCCGTAATGACGTGTTTAGGACGACGTCGACTGTTTATCATTCGGTCTACAGGATCGGGTATCCAAAACCCCACTTGACGGGTGCGTGCGCCAAACCTTAGTCCACGAACTATGGAGAACATCTGTTAAGGCTTTAATAAACCAGGATTCCATATGACCACGACTGTTCTGCCAAAAGTAACCGATTATGATGTGTCACTTGGCCGCTCTATGACGCGCAGTCCAGACTTCAGAAGCGGTTAAGGTATCCTGAAAATGAAATCCGCCACGGCCATGACACTCACCTATCTTTATGCTCAGCTTGTCTGTCTCTCTGTCTGCGGTTCTTGAACCAATTCGATACCTGAAAACCGAAAATCCATATCGTCATTATTGCACTACCCTCTTTTTTTTCTTACCTATTTTAGTAACCTCGAAGGGTTATGCCAGATTCACCGAGCGAGTAGAGAAAGAGAGAGTATTCTTTACTGCACACAAAACAATTTAATATTAAAAAAATATACTGAAAAACAACTAAAAAATTAAAAATAAATAATAGTTTAAAAAATTAAAAAAAATACGCTTTTATAGAAAATCCAACTAAAAAATAGAAAATAAATTTTAATAAATTTGAATTAAAAATAGTATAAGCAAAAATGATTTTGCGCTTGCTTTTGAAAACGCGTGGGGTGCATGGTATCAGTAGTTATAAATATTTTATGAACAGATATGAGTAGAAGAAGGTTATTTTGATAATATCCTATAACAAAATCATTTTTTCTTACACTATTTTTAATTTAAATTTATTAAAATTAATTTTCTATTGGAACGAAGTTCCTTGCGGCAGGCTTGGAGGGGATAGGGATTTTGCTGCGCGACCGAACTGAAAAAAATGTGATAGTAAAACCGTAAGAAAAAATACGTGGAAAAAAGTGCGTGGAATAAAACCGTTAAATGAGACGTGCGCAGGCGCGACAGTCGTATACACAACCGAGTAGTGTATAATACCTTTCTCTTTCTCCCTCTTTCTTTTCGTTCTGTCATGCCTTCTCTCTCTATTTTGTAATTATTTCTATTTCTATGTAATTTTATGTTGTCAAACAAAAATAAAGAGACATATTTTGTTATTTTAATTGATAATTTGAATTACGATTTTATTTTTATTTTACGTAATTTATTATTTCCTAAAATACTGAATTTCCTAAATACTTTCCTGTACTTAAATAAAAACTAATCAGCAAAACTTAAGAGAAAAATCAAGAAAACCAACATAAAATTGAGCACGATTTTTTTTTGCAAATTGTGTCGATTCTACATTAGTCGAAGTAACTTCGTTCCTACCTGGTGTCCCACGACACCACATAATTAGTTTTTTTATTTAGTTGGATTGTCTATAAAAGTGTATTTTGTTAGTTTTTTTAAACTATTATTTATTTAAGTTGTGAGCTTCAATCGATAATGAAGTAAGTCGCGTCCGTGTGACATTGATCCCGCACCTGGAGTGTTGTGTAATTTCGTGCATAAAATATTATATTTATAATATATATTAGTAATAGCAATATATATTAGTAGTAGTTAAATAGTATATTTGTTTATATTGATGAGGACCTTCAATTGTCTTTTTGTTTCCATTATCTGTTATATTATTATAAAAAATTTAAAAAATTGTTGGCCGTTGGTTCTACTTGTAATAAATTAATTAATTAATTTCGCATAGTATATTGGCCTATTTCGCCAATTTTACTTTAAAAAAAAAAAAATTCTTGCGCTGTTTATAAAAAAAGCGTTGTTTTTTTAAAACTAACTTTGACATTGTACATATCTCAACAACATTGTATATTAGAATTTAAAATGATGTATCTGATATCAGTAACACTATACGAACAGGTTTGAGGAAGTGCTGCGGTGGTGTAATGTTACCATCGGACCACAATTTGTGCGCCGTAAGTTATAAATGCATATAAACTATAATATATTTTATTTGCCAACTACGTCTAATGTATTTTTTTTGTAACTCGACAAATTGATTGCGAGCTCGATGGCAAGGCGTTATTAATATTCACGAGTGCTCACAGGCACTCATGCGTGCTCACCGGTGCTCACGTGTGCTCACAGATGCTCAAAATTTGTTCGTCTTCTCGATGGTAGTAAAAACTGGTATTGCTGAACACTACATTGCCCATATGAAAGTTACTGGTAGGAAAAATACTGACTTGTACTGTGGTTAGTCCGGTCGTTTCGGCCAGCTCTCTCTTTTCTCGTGGCGAAGGATACGGGTTGTGGAGATACCAGTCGCGGAGGACGGATCTGGACTTTTCCTGTACGAAAAAATGATGTTTGAGATATGTGAGCCTTTTTCCTGAGATGAATGCACGGGCGCAGGGCTGAGATCACAAGCAATTGGAAAATGAGGTCGACGTGTCAATTGTATACGGTCCCATCTTGATGCAGATGAATGAACGATCCCGCTGCCCACGTGGTCTAAAGTGGTAAAAGAAAAGAAACCCTCAGAGCGGATCGCAGGGACCATTCGCGTGAAATTGCAATACGCCAAGTGGATTTTTGCAACAATGCACTTCTTTACGCCTCTTGAGCGCGTAATGCTCACACAGGTCGCAACCCCGCATTGCCACCAGCATTTATGCCATTGTCGTCAATAACGTCAGAAGCAGCTTGGGATAAAGTAGAGAAACTTGTAGTTTTTTTTATTGCCCTTGGAAGCAGACGAGCATATGGCCCACCGTTACTGTCACCCATGGACTTTAGCAATTCCAGGGGCAGAGCCGAACCGCTGGCTACCGAAATGCCATGAATGATAATTGTATCAGAGAAACATTCGTAATGAAACATTGTATCATTCGTAATGAAAGCTCATTGGAACGATTAGTGGTTCAAGAAAGAGTAAACGGTCAATGGTCTCGCGGCCGATCGCCCACAAGGTGAACAGACTTGATTAAATCATCAACTAAGTGTTTCCCTTACTGAATTTACAAGTACCGCCACAAATAGAAAGAGATGGAGAAGCTTCTCAAAAGCCGCAACCAAGCAATAAGACATACGTAACCACGACCACTCCGCCAGGAGTGTACGACTGAGAAGAAGAAAAATCAGAGAAACAATCATCTATGATGATACTGTGCATCGAAATAGTCCACAGATCAACCCGAAAGAGAGATTTACGTCAAACCTTCAAGGTCTTGGCGATGCGAAGACCCAGCGATAAATCCGCTGATAGCTTTCGCTTTTTAGTGGCTGGAATTTTGTAAAACGCTTCATATTTTAGTTAGTAAATAAGGAAACGTACCTTAAAACAGTAAGAGGTCTCCTCTCCGTCCCATATCGTTCTGGGGAGGGGGAATTTACGCCTCACCCGGTATTTGCCGACTGCTCCGAGTGGCCTACCCCGAAGCCGCTCCGCCTCCATGTAGTGAGCTGGACATATACANTTTCGCTTTTTAGTGGCTGGAATTTTGTAAAACGCTTCATATTTTAGTTAGTAAATAAGGAAACGTACCTTAAAACAGTAAGAGGTCTCCTCTCCGTCCCATATCGTTCTGGGGAGGGGGAATTTACGCCTCACCCGGTATTTGCCGACTGCTCCGAGTGGCCTACCCCGAAGCCGCTCCGCCTCCATGTAGTGAGCTGGACATATACAATTTGATCCTCTCTCATATCATAGACGTTTTGAAGTCGTCGTGGCCTAAAGGATAAGACGTCCGGTGCATTCGTATGTAGCGATGCACCGGTGTTCGAATCCCGCAGGCGGGTACCAATTTTTCTAATGGGTTGACTTCCACGGTGAAGGAATAACATCGAGTAGTAAAAAACAAACCCGCAAATTTAAAATTTGCGTAATTACTGGTGGTAGGACCTCTTGTCAGTAGCAACGGGTAGGTACCACCGCCCCGCCTATTTCTGCCGCGAAGTAGTAATGCGTTTCGGTTAGAAGGGTGAGGTAGCCGTTGTAACTATACTGAGACCTTAGAACTTATATCTCAAGGTGGGTGGCGTACTTACGTAATACATGTCTATGGGCTCCAGTAACCACTTAACACCAGGTGGGCTGTGAGCTCATCCACCGATCTAAGCAATAAAAAAAAGCGAACCATCTTAGAAACCGAACAAACCTTTCAACCACAGACTCTGCAGCTTTGCGTGGTTGTGAGCGCTGAAGTTGTGCGACTCCAGCAGCCTGTAGAGCTCCTTGAAGTTCCCCCGGTGGAAGGCGACCATGGCCTTCGCCTTCAGCACGGACTCGTGGGCGTGGAGACGCTCGCAGGCCGGCAGCGACCAGAGGAACCTCCCCAGCCTATCTATGTTGCCGGCCTGCTGAAGGACCTGTACGAAAAAAGGGAACTTTAGTAAGGTTCCAAACTAATGACCCGCTCTGATTTGGTACGGGCGTATCATGATATCTATATGTTAATACGTGAAGCAAAAACTTTGTATCCCTTTTTATGAAAATTGCGCGGACGGAGGAGTATGAAATTTTCCACACTTATAGAGAATATAGAGAAGAAGTGCACAATGCTAATATATATTTTTGAATAATGCATAAAAGATACATTAAATCAATAAAGAAAACATTACACACACTACATACCATGAACTTAACGCACACACGCATGCATACTATTTATTGTCAAACTTTTGTTCTTGACGTCTGTGGTCAAATTGAGAATAGATTAAATATTGTTTGTCTTTATTAATATTTTTTTAAAGTGTAGCCTTGGCGAAATTTGTGATTATAGAAGTATAAAATACAATCATAATAGTGTACAAACTTACAATTCCAATTAGTTATAGTCGAATTTCGACTACTGCGGGACCTCTAATTAGAGTAAGTGCGCCAATTATGGACTGGTTCTGTAATATGAACTACCCGTGTTTCTTAAAGAACATCCTTCGTACCGAGCCGTCGGTCAGCGCACGCTAAGCTTTACCCTCCCGCGGCCAAATTTTTGCAATTTTATAATAATGACATATTTTAGAAAATGTTGATTATTTCAGACGGGTCGATGTTTCTTCAGAATTTTATTTATCACTAGCTGACCCGGCACACATCCTAGTGCCTCAATCGATGAATAAAAGACCGAAACTTTTGTATAAAATAAACTTAAAACAAATAAAAGGAATCCGTCCGACGGGAGACACATTAAAGGGAAAACAAAATTGTTATTTTTATTTAATTCCTAGCATTTTCATATTTATCTACCTTTTAAACCTTCTCTGAACTTCTACAAATAATTCAAGACCAAAGTTAGCCAAATTGTTCGAGTCGTTCTCGAGTTTTAGCGAGACTAACGAACAGCAATTCATTTTTATATACATAAATATATACATATAGATATAGATTTTTGATACCAAATAATTATCGAACTGTTCAAAATATATAAGGCTGATTAAACTTTAAAATTCTGAGTTTTGTTTGACAAAATCCATATGGTGGTCCATAATTGGCGCGCGTACTCTAAACACAATTATAAACTGCAAAACACTTTTGTTTTTCCTACCTAACCTGATGGCTTTGAGAAGCCATTTCAGCGTAACCCTAATAAGTAGATGAGCTCACGGGTATCAAACCTGACGACGTTACTAACCCTAGCAAGAGTAGTGCTTGGCCGAATCTACCACCGGATCGGAAACGCGACCCACTGAGAAGATCCGGCGAGAAACTCTGTGGGCTGTGTCTGTAGGTTTATTTACTCGCCGAGCCCTTCGTCGCAAGCGACAGGTTCGACGAGAACGATGACCGTGCAATACACATGTATCATTAAAAAGTGACGAAATTCGCATGTGAAAATTCAAACCCTAATTAACTCCTTTGGGCGGTATATTTTGATAATCGTTTTGATCTACATGTACTTTCTAACCAGAAACAAGTGCAGTATAAAATACGTATTTAACAAATGTTCACGAATACGTATGCGAATTTTAATATTATACCGACGTGTTCAATATGCTGATAATTTAAATCAAAAGATACCGTTACATAGATGGATACAGAATAGTAACAAAAATAAAACTGATTTCGACAATACAACAATGAGTATATGAGTATCTGACTGACTCGGTGATAGTTAGAGGTCCTGACTGTCGCGCCGAGGGTCGCGGGTTTGATTCCCGCATCGGGAAAAAATTGGTGTAATGAACAGGTTTATTTGTTCTTTATTTGGATATTTACTATCCATATGTATATATTTGAACCTATATAGGTATGCATGTCAGTGTCTGGAATCCATAACACAGGTAATCCTAATTTGAGGCCTGATGACCGTGCGTGATTTGTTCCCAGGTTATTTATTTATATAGTCGAAGTTTTTTTTTTTTCTTTTATTGCATGTATGTATGGACGCGCTCACGGCCCTCCTGGTGTTAAGTGGCCACCCATCTTGAGTTCTAAGGTCTCAGTATAGTTACAACGGCTGCGCCACCTTTCAAACCGAAAGCCATAATTGCTTCACGGCAGAAATACGCAGGATGTTGGTACCTACCCGTGCGGACTCACAAGAGATTTTTTTATTGCATGTATGTATAGACGTGCTCACAGCCCACCTTGTGTTAAGTGGTTACCGGAGCCCATAAACATCTACAATGAAAATGCAGCCACCAACGAGTTGGTATAAGTTCTAAGATCCCAGTATAGTTACAACGGTTGCCCCACCCTTCAAACTGAAACGCATTACTGCTTCACGGCAGAAATAGGCAGAGTGGTTTGGTTGTTTTTTTTTTGGAAATGGTGTTTGTCATTTGCTTCCATTTTCTAGAGCTGTTCCATATTAAGGCATATCTAAATGACTTCACTACTGGCCGTTACTGGACTTTATTACTGGTGGTAGGACCTCTTGTGAGTCCGCGCGGGTAGGTACCACCACCCTGCCTATTTCTGCCGTGAAGCAGTAATGTGTTTTGGTTTGAAGGGTGGGGCAGCCGTTGTAACTATACTTGAGACCTTAAAACTTATATTTCAAGGTGGGTGGCGCATTTACGTCGTAGATGTCTATGGGCTCCAGTAACCACTTAACACCAGGAGGGCTGTGAGCTCGTCCACCCATCCAAGCAATAAAAAATAAAATAAAAGGTAACTAACACACATGAAAAAAAAAATACTATCGTATCAAAAACTTCGTGTTTGTTTCAAGTCGGTTAAAAACGTGTTAAAATGAAATGAGGTCAATTCGATTGGTCAATCGCATGTAAGTGCATCACAATGGACACATAAATAAATAGAAACATTCTTGGGTGGCCGTAAATTGTTGTTTGGCGAAATTTTGATGCGAAAACATCCGTTGGCAGACCTAAACAAATAATAATTTTCAAGGCGACATTTCGACTAGACGGAATCATTAGTCTCTTGTCGCGTTGTGGATAGTTTTGTTGTTTTTAAACTCAGTCTCCGAATCCAGGCTGTGTACGAGTGAGATATACGGAGTTGGAGTAGACTGAACTCTTATCACGGTGGGTTTCGACAAGTTTTGACAAATGGGGTTCCCAGACACCGCACGGGAGCATCCCTAAGAATAGTTCGGAAGTGATAGAGCTTTTTAACTGAAGTAACATAGAGCATCATCATTATAAGCCCACAGTCGTCCACTGTTGGACAAAGACCTCTCCCAATCTACCCTACAGAGCCCGGTTTTCGGCAATCCTCACCCACCTCTTGCCAGTCACCGTTCGGAGGTTTTTTTTATGGCTTAGATGGGTGGACGAGCTCACAGCCCACCTTGTGTTAAGTGGTTAATGGAGCCCATTGACATTTACAACGTAAATGGCCACCCACCTTAGAACTCTAAGGTCTCAATAGAGTTACAACGGCTGCCTCACCCTTCAAGCCGAAACGCATTATTGCTTCACTACAGAAATAGGCGGGGTGGTGGTACCTACCCGTGCGGACTCACAAGAGGTCCTACCACCAGTAATTACGCAAATTATAATTTTGCGGGTTTGATTTTTATTACACGATGTTTTATTCCTTCACCGTGGAAGTCAGTCGTGAACGTTTGTTAAGTATGCATTTCATTAGAAAAATTTGTACCCGTCTGCGGGATTCGAACACCGGTACATCGCTAGATACGAATGCACCGGACGTCTTATCATTTAGGCCACGAGAAGCCTAAGGACAGAAAATGGATCCGGAGACAAGACATGTTTCGGGAGACGATTTGGCCTTGCGTTGCCCCGTCACCTGGCCCGGATTTTTTGAGAAGTCATCGCTGAACATGAGTTAATTACATATACACGTAGAATAGGGATCGCAGCGCATAAAATAAAACTTCCACTGTTCCAAAATCTTCTGTTATATTAATAATTTAAAAATTAATTAACACTTTTATTACGCCTTGCTCATTTTTTATTAACCCGTCTTCGCCATCTTCCTATTTCTCTGTCATTCTGTATGTCATTATCTTCTCCGTTGTCTCTCACTCACATCTTAACGATCCGTTCCACACTCTTTTCATATTATACATTCCATTCTTAACAATCCTACACACATTTAATTACAAAAATTAGTACACATACTTTTGCCTGTGGGATTCGAACTTTTTTTTCCCTACCTATGCCGATTGCCTCTTGCTGATTGACTCTAGCCTTGAGAGGTTATTTCAGCTTCGTCCTAACTTGTAGGTGAGCTAACGGGGGTTCAAACCGGAATGTTGCTAACACTGGCCCTAGCAAGAGCAGTGCTTCGCAGAATCTACCACCGGATCGGAAACGCGACCCACTGAAAAGATCCGGCGAGAAGCTCAGTACATACTTGCCTGTGAGATTCGAACACTGACACAGTCGCATATGAATAGACTGGGCGACAACAAATATACATAGATCTCAAAATTGCAGTTACAAGATACGGTCGCGTGCTATTTCTATAGGTACTACGTATACAAAACAGAATGCAGTAATGAGCGGCCCCCTAATGGCGGATATCGGTTACCACTTTGTTTACTGGAGGGCGATGATAATGGGATACACAACGAGGGTTGCCACGGGGGCGAGATTATAGACAAATTATCCTAAAGCAAAATATGTATATAAATACATTTTCAAAGCCGAATTGAAACGGACTAGATTTATATATCGTAACATAAATTAGATAAAAAATGAATCCGTGTATACGTAAAAATATAGGGCGGTCTTACTTATAGAAGTGACCTCTTTGAGACAACCATAAAGAAATCCTGTGGTAATGATGTTGTAGTGTGGTAATGATAGCGCATTTACTTTATACATGCCTATGGGTTCTAGTAACCACTTAATACCAAGTGGGCTGTGAGATCGTCCACCCATCTAAGCAATAAAATAAAAAAACCTTCAACAAATAATTTGCACAATGACACTGTAAGCCAACAGTTTCGTTCTGACTGTCCCGACACTTTGAGAGGCTATGTCAGCGTAACCTAACAAGTAGGTGAGCTCACGGGGCTCAAACCTGACGACGTTGCTAACACGAACCCTAGCAAGAGCCGTGCTTCGCAGAATCTACCACCGGATCGGAAACGCGAACCACTGAAAAGATCCGGCGAGAAACTCAGTGGACTGAGTCTGTGGGTTATTTTACACGCCGAGCCCTTCGTCGCAAGCGACGGGTTCGACGAGAACGATGACCGGTGCTTGAGGTACCTAAAAGCACTGTTAATGGATCAGGAGGATCCGAAATAATGCGAACCCGACTATTTCCACGTAATATAATAAAATGGCGTATTTTATACTCTGGCGTTACGGCGTCTGCCCTACATTTTTTTTAATATTAACGTCTACGTTTTCTGGTGGTAGGACCTCTTCTGAGGCCGCACGGGTAGGTACCACCAGCCTGCCTATTTCGCGCATAGATACGCATGGTCATGGACATTGTCAGGGGCACAGCTAAGCTCTACCTACCGCTGACGATTCCTTTCAAAAAACTCGTAAAAAATATTTTAAAATTATCCAGATAAATATTTCTAGTGCTTATGTCTCTAAAGAGGATTCAGTGAATAAAAGTCATCGCAATATACACGAAGCCCCGCCCCCTCTGAAACCGGATATCCGGTTGTCAAGGTTACCGGGCGACCCTCTATTTACTTCTCCCGGTATGTTTTAGGCGACTGAGTGATTAAATATCGGATTTTGATTCCTTTAGTCGGGAGTATCAGCAGGTCTGGGATATCGCAGAATATTCTGTGCTGTCAGCGAATAAAACATGTTACTGTGAAACCACGGCGACTCCCTCCTATTAATTTCGCTGGTGGTGGGTAGAAATTAAAAAAATGGATTTTATAATTCAATATTATACATACTCCTATATGCAACTGATGTTCGGAGCTTAAACAACAATGCTGAGTAATAATTTAAACAGTTTAATAAATATGAAAACAGAATTTAACAAAATATAATTAGAGCATCGTCAATATAGTCGAAGACAATTATGAATGAATATGGATCACTATGGATAACCCGGAAACGACCAAATGAGAAGCAAAGGTTTTTAAATAAAAAAGAATCATGGAAATCGGTTAACCTAGAAGAAAGTTCTGAAGTAGCACACACACACACACATAAAAAAATACATTTGAATTGATAACGTCCACATTTTTTGAAGTCGGTTAAAAATAAAGAGGTCGATTCGCGTCAGACATAACCAGTTAAATTAAAATTATTAACGGCCTACGTAAAATATGTTTCAAGCTCTAAGACTTACACTCGGAATATAAAATGAAAATTGGTTTTTTAAATCATTATAATATGATTTATAATAAACGAAATATACGTGTTAATATAACTTTTTAATAAATTAGTAATAAAATATTCTGTTACTATTTATAAAAATACAGATGGAAGCGAAACAATCACAGCGGGTACTCTACCATTGACATTTGAAATGAGAAAAACAATTAAATCTGGCCACACACGGTCATACTAATAACGCAGTTCACTCACCTCGCAAACGCAGGCGACCTGCTCCTGTGTAAAGCCAAAACTCGGCAGGGGAGCGTCTCTAGGGGGGGTGGCCTCCCGCTGCCCCCACTCGGGGCCCCCCAGCATGTCCAGATGCTCGTCCCCAGCCACTTTGACGACTGTTTCACACTACAGCACTTAACGCCGTGACGTCAGTCGCGTCACGAATGTCTAGCTTTATTAGTTTCGAGTTCCTAATTTGAATATCACTTTTATTAACGCTGGTCTTACATTCGAATTTGGAAATTATAATCGCGCGCTAATTCTGATGTTATTTTAAAAGTATCCACATAATTTAAATGTTTTAAATCATTATTCCAAATTTAAATAAGCGATTTTGTTGAGTTTTTTTTTTTAATTAGTTGTTTAGACTTTTTGAATATTCGAACGCTTTTCTCGTGGCTTATATTAAATATTTACGTAGACATCTCTAGTCAAACATGGAAGGCGGCAATCCCAAAACGTTTAAACAAAAAGCGTTCGAGTTTTAAAACGGCGATTACTTGTTTGTTCGACTTTTTTTTTGTTTGTTTTTTTTTTTTTAAATCACCGTGGCACTGTTTGTATTTGTAATGAGTTTTGAATATTTCACTTGAACAATAAGTATACGGCCAGTCTCTGTCTGGTTCACGCACGCATATTCCGCGCGATCTTTTAAGCATTCACGTTTATTTCTTGCTGGCGCAGTACAAGGTTTTCCTCTTTTTTCGCATTTTAATTAAATCCGTCCCGGGTTTACCTGAAAACAAAGAAAAAACATTAACGTCTTTTGTCGAGATATCCAGAGCAATGACTCTAGTGCCGGAGTGACTTGAATATAAAATTCGCGTTTTTAACAATAAAAAAACACGGGTAACATGAGCATCGAAAAATTTATGTACGTTTTTTGTATTGTACTAGGTTCAGTTCTTGTCATTGACCGATAAGTTTCCACTGTCGACAATAGACATAGACACGGCCTACTGAGTTTCCCGCCTGATCTTCTCAGTGGGTCGCGTTTCGGTGGGCAGCAAGTTGGTTCTGCCCCTGATATTTTGATGTCCATAGGCGACGGTAACCACTCACCATCAGATGAGCCGTATACTCGTCAGCCTACAGGGTCAATAAAAATAAATAAACTCCAAAAGCTGGCTGTCATTAAGCTGTAGGTTTTTTGTCCTACCTATTCGCTGGTAGCTTAAGTCTATTCCAGCTACGTCCAGACGGCTAAGTGAGCTCACAGGCTCAACCTGAGAGGATTTGCTAACACTAGCCCTAGCAAGAGCCGTGCTTCGCAGAATCTACCGCCGGAATCGCGACCCACTGAGAAGATCCGGCGAGAAACTCAGTAGGCTGTAGGTTTTACTGGTGGTAGGACCTCTTGTGAGTCCGCACGGGTAGGTACCGCCACCCCGGCTATTTCTGCTGTGAAGCAGTAATGCGTTTCGGTTTGAAGGGTGGGATAGCCGTTGTAACTATACTGAGACCTTAGAACTTATATCTCAAAGTGGGTGGCGCATTTACATTGTAGATGTCTATGGGCTCCAGTAACCACTTAACACCAGGTGGGCTGTGAGCTCGTCCACCCACCTAAGCAATAAAAAATAAATAAAAATAAAATGTTTTCATTAAATCGCGAAGACGATAACAAACAAATAACAAGGTCACATTTACTTTGAACAGAAATAGATTTATATATGTTTTTTTTCTTAGTTCTCCAATTGTAGACCCTAAATCTATTAGTTTCAAGTAATATTTTGCTCTGCGATCCAAATCTTTCGATGTAAATGCAATTTGATATCATCATGTGATATCAACCGAAGTGGTATTTACTATGGTAATGATGAAAAATTGTCAACGCATATTAAAAATATTAAAATAAGGCTTATTTATTGATAAGTGAAAAATTGTCAACGGATATTAAAAAAAATAGAAAAAAATGTTATTTATTGATATGTGAAAAATTGTCAACGCATATTAAAAATATTTAAAAAATTAAAAAAGGCTTATTCATCGTTATGAAAGAATACAATAATTTGAAAATGATATCACGCCATCTATGTTACTGCCGTCATCAATATTCCATATGTTTATCGCCAGAAATACCGTCAGATTGCCTGTAACTCGAACGAGATCCGAGTTGGAGACAACGAGAGATTTACTGGGGGACTCCAACGGGGCCTTCTTAATGCAGACGAGCGGTTTTAAGCTTTTCTATATCGAATGGCTATTTCGTTAATCGTATCCTTTACTCATAAGGCGAATTTACATTACAAAATTAGTGGCATGAAACTAATTTCGTGACATTAGTTTTACCAACAATTTCACGTGTAATTTAATATTTTTGTAATGCATGCATTAATTTTATGCATGCAAATAAGTTTCGTGCCCTGCGCGATTTTTTGGCGAAATTAGTGTCATGCAACTAATTTCATAGTGTAGACGCGACGTGAAACTAATGTCGCGAAAGGGCCTGCGCTGTGCGGACGTGTGTATTTTTAGCTCGCGCGCGCTTCAAGCGTTGAAAATGGCAAACCAAAGATGGAGTACAGATAAAAATATAGAATTCAATAATGAATATCAGCGACAAGAGTGTCTCTGGGGCCCGAACAGGTATCCTCCACGCTATTAGTAAAGTAAGTTATGTAATTGTTCAATATTTATTGTATTATTTATAATATTGTGTACAAGCTCAGCACATTTGTCTTGTTTAGTTTGCGCACATGCCTTATGTTATAAGCCAGTTTTTTTTTACTTGTTGTTATTATTAAGCTATTGCATAGCTTCTATCGCGGGCCTTGAGCGCGGCGACTGAATCAAGAAATTCCGTAACGAAAATAACCGGACACCCCCACTACGCATACTGTGTAGCTCGCGTTCAACACATTTACACATTGCGCTGGTGTAGTATTTGTGAATAGGCGCGCGGCATGACGTCGCACTGCATGAGCATCATGAAAAGTCTGTCCATCTCTCTCTCACGCAGTTTAGCTTATGAGTGTGAAGGGGACAGGTAATGTTTTGCTAAATATGGCGTGGTCTTATTTTTATTATTGTTTTAATATTAAATTATTATTGTCTAATTGTAATTGCATAAGTTGATAAAAAATGCTTTGCAATAGCTTTGCCGCGGCAGTCCCCGAGTGCCACACGTCTTTTTTTGTGTATCTTTTTAGCTTGTAATGTGCTTTGTGTACCTAATAGATAAATAAATTACATCGACTTCCGCGTCTGAATTAGAGCGTTTAAAAAAACGCTCGTTCGTTCACGCACACCCTGAATTCATGCGACAATCCTTTACGTGTGCCACAAGCGAGAATTATTCCCTGCGCGTCTTTTTTCCGGCGCGTTCGAAAAAATGAAGTGCGAACGAGACAGCAATAGGGGTCATAGTGTCAAATGTTCTTGTGTGTTTTAAGTAATTTTTATCATCGACGCGATCGCGAGGGAGGCCCGCCTGATGCATGGATCTGGTCGCGGTGGGTAGGGACGCGAAATATATATTTATCGACGTTCCTAATTCGTTTTGGCATTAACAAAAATCGGACTTTTTGGCGGGAACGCGAGGAGTGAAGTTGTGTGGTTTGTTTTATTTTGTCTAATTAGTGTTTCTTCAGGTTTAAATGTGTAATAACGGTGGTTTATTAACTGTTTAGTATCTGTGAAAGTGCACCAATGTGAGAAAATGAAACAAAGTTCCTGAACGTAACTTCTCAAGATCCTCCAAAAAGTCCATTGAAAAAGTCTCAGTAAATGACCACCATTTTACTGAGATTATACTTCATCCCATATCATCTCATTTCATTTCATTTCGTGCCATGTTTCATAATAATCAACTTCATTTCATTACATAAAATCATTTTTCATATAAAAAAGTTATCATTAAAATTAAAATAAGACTTGACCTAAAGGTCTTAGTTACTAGGTCATAAAATCCCTTTAATTTTTTTTTTACAAAAATCGTTATTAAATTCATTGTGCTTAGTGCGAGTCTTTTAACTTCTCGATCGCGTAAAAGTTACCTTAAATTTCTATGGAGTTCGAACAGCTTCTCTGCATTTGCCGCTAGGGGCGCTGTTCCAACTCCATACAAATTGATCTAATTATGACAGGGGTAAGTGAATGACTCCAACTTTATTTAATTGCTTTTATAAATGTCAAGGATAAAGCGCACCCGCTGTATACTGCCGAAGAGTCCTTGTGGACGAGCTCACAGCCCACCTAGTGTTAAGTGTTTACCGGAGCCCATAGACATCTACAACGTAAATGCGCCACCCACCTTGAAATAAGTTCTCAGGTCTCAGTATAGTTACAACGGCCGCCCCACCCTTCAAACCGAAACGCATTATTGCTTCACGGCAGAAATAGACGGGGTGGTGGTCCTACCACCAGTAAGAAAAAGCTTGCCCCGCTAAGTCCCCCGCTTACCGTCCTCCCTTCGCTCTCAAACAATGACTCATGATAGAGTATCAGAGAGAGATCAATAGGTCGTAGATCCATCTTCTCGGTCGTCAAGCAGCGCAAGACCGATCTTTGTAACGAGGCTTGGGGCATGTCTATTCCCAGCAGTAGTCAGTTGGCTTATAGAGTAGAATAGATAGAGAGTGTAATTTCAGTCCAAGCCGACCGTCATTGTCTGCCACGAAGACACGGTGCCTTCCCATCTGAAGGTCAAGGTAACTTATCCTCGTGCAGCTTAGATGGATCTCAAGTTGGGTTACGGTAGAAGTTCACGTTGTTCTCCCTCTGGGCTTTCCTACCTGCCATGACGTGGGTGGACCCCCCTTAAGTGACCAATAAATAGGTAGGAAAAAAGAAGCCGTGATAGCCGTTTAGCATCACGTGAGCAGTGAGCTGATTTTGCCAAGCCCAATATAGTGGAAGGAGGAAAAGAAATTTCTATTTTAATTATTTTAAGTTAGCAACACTCAATGTCTTTATGTGGATACCGTTGGCCAACAGTTTGCATTTAAATAAAAAAATCATTAACCGTATTTAAAATTCGAACGAGTTTGTGTTAAGGGCAAGCGTTATTTTTAAATATTTCGATTTATAATTAAGCTTATAAGTTTATAAGTCGTTATAACGACGATTTGAGTAACGTTTTTAAGAATTGATGAAAAATTCTTTTACGGTAAACTATGTAAGAAGGGATGGGCCACGAAAAACGTTGGAAATTTTGTCGAAATACTCTAAATGGTATTAGGGATGTGGTATTTTAAAACCATATTATGACATGTTGAAAACAAATGTTATTTTGTACGTATACAAATGAATTTGTTTAAGGACCACCTCGTGTTACGTGGTAATCGTGGCCCATAGACATCAATAGGCCAATGCCACCATTCCGCTTGAGACTTGAGGTTTATGTCCTTAAATAGTTATTACGCAATTTTTATTACAACATCTCATACTTTAATGACGGAATTCGCGAATGTGGTGGTAGCCATCACAGAACACAAGATATTTGACAGATTCTTGATTCTCGCTTACGACATTATCAAGATAAGCTTGTATATATACCAGTTCCTAACAACAACAATCGGTCCATCAGTAAGTATCTGCAGTCGGCATCGATGCGCCACTTCGATAAAGCGGCACGACACGAGAACCCTCTCATCGTGGCCGCCGGTAACTACATTCTCGATCCTGCGGAAAGAATGGAAAGAAGTCGACGTCGCCCCAAACACGTCATTTCGGATCCTCCTGATCCACTAACGGTGCTTTTAGGTACCTCAAGCACCGGTCACCGTTCTCGTC